TCTCTAGATTATATTAATCTGTAATTTGTATCCAGCAAAAAACTGCTTGCTTGTATTTAAGCTAAATATAGATAACACAAAAACGAGCAAAATAGTTACAAAAAAAAATTTATCGTATAAGTAAAAAGTTTAACCTTTTCAGTAATTCTGATTTTAGTTATACCAGTAAATCTTCTCTTTTTTTTTAATTTTAATTTTTTATTTTGAGTTTTTGTAGTTTTTATTTCTAATGTAATTTTAGTTTTATTTTATTTTGTTTCTTTATTTTCAGGTCAGGCAATGAAACGTCCGTTTGATTTCTTGTCCAACCCTTTATTACAATGCAATCGTCACAATCAAAAAACTTAATACATTTTTTATCGTATAATTTTACATTCCATTTTCCCTTTTTTTAAAAGATCATTTTGTTTACTTTTTTTAAAAAAAAAATATCATTTTGTAAATCATGCTTCCTTGCATATCAGTTTTTACAATTATTTTAAAGTTGAAACCTTAACAAACGCAAGTCCCAAATATCATTTAGTTCAAAATACGCAATCAGCTATTTATTATAAGTATTATTTTTATTTAATAGTATTATTAATATTAATATATTATATCATAGCTTAAATCTATGTCTTGTAGTTAAGTATTACATTCATAAATTCATAAACTTGTTAATACAGACTTTGATTTAAGCGTTTTGGAGTGGGGAATATAACATCCTTCATCAATTTAAGTGCCAATCATGTAAAGGCCGCTATTCATTTTTTGTGACAAATAGTGCCTCCTTTGCACATAGAGAATGAATATACATGTATTTGGTAATGGAATGAAGACTGAAATTTAACATTATAAAAAAAATATAAGATGTTATGTACACAATAACTGTGGTTATAGAAATGATAAAAGTTATTCCTGGGAAATTGAAAGTAGTCGTTATAGTGGAATGAGTACTGAAATTCATCATTCTATTAAATATATGGTTTTGTATCCTAAATAACTACTGTTATAATAGTGGACGTTATTCTTGGGAGATTGAAACTGGTTCTTAATGGCATAATGTAATTGTGTTTCAAGGACTTGACGTGAAATATTTTTGACGGAGAGTTCAATTGTTTTTGTGTGTATGTATATGTGTGTTACGTAGTGCAGCTTATAAGGTGCTTTAATTTGATAAACTTGTATATTATAATGTAAGACTGAAAGTCTGGATGTACAAATGTTTAAAACTGTATATAGAATGTGTCACATATTTTGTATAGCTCCAACCTGCCTTAAAGGTGTGTTTAACGGAGCACTACGCACCAATCGGAACAAATTCATTGAACGATTTGATAATCCAGAAAATGACTTCCTGTTTGTTTGTTGGTCGTGATTGGAAACAAGACTATATTGTTGTGCGCTAATGGTGGATTCTTACTATCGTGCACTAATTGTGGATATTTTGCTATTGTGCGCTAATGGTGGATATTTTACTACTGTGCCCTCAATGGTGGATATTTTATTATGATAACAGAGAGTGTTGATGAATGTGTTTCTGTTTTACTTGTATTCATTGGGATTTTCATATACCACAGCTGAGCTTTTTATACACAAATATTCCAGAGGTCGAAACCGAGTCCCTTGACTTGCAACTTGACTCTGATTCAACGGTCGTGACAATTCGTGACTTGAAAGAGTTCAGGATTTAAGTCGCTGGGACTCAACTTGGACTCCACCTCTGAAATATACACACTATTTCATGTTGTCATATTATCGTTACTAGCCTGTTTGTTTCAACCCTTCAAAGAAGAAAAAAACCTAATAAAATTAATGTCTAGACCAGATGATAGACAATAATATACATACAATAAGTCTTACCATATTCTGTCAAACGAAACAAACAGTCTATATGCCATTAAACATTACACTTGTCATTTCCATTTATTTTTATTTGGTTGTGTTGTGAGAGATGTCAGTTATCAATTTTGAACATATCTAAAATTTCAGGAGAATCAATTTCTATGCTGGTTGCGGGAGGTCGGAAATTCCCATAATAGGGCATCTTAATCCCAACCAAGAATTTCCATATGGAAATGATCTTCCTAACCATCTTGATCGCCTCTCCAACTGACCTGAAAATCAACAAAACCCTTTTTTTCACGCCTTTTTACACAGAAATTTGAAATCCAAATTCTACTTAAATTTTTTCACTTTTATGGTGTTCAATTTTATAAATTTTGCTCATTTTATTATTTTTCACAGAATGTTCAATTTGTATTTTTTTTCTGTGGCTTGTACATATTTAAACATTAATGAAGCAGGGATTGAGTATAAAGAGCTTAATAATAATAATCTTTAATATACTAATAATAATAATAACCCTCTTTTGTTTGTGATAATTCAGATGCATCCTCGGGATATACCCCTAGTGGTATAGTTCTGAAGCTGTATTCATAAAAACTTCAACTAAAATATTTTAAGAATTAAGCCCTTTCATTGGCCAAGAGCTAAAATTTGTACTAACCAATGAAAAGGCTGCCTCTTTAAATATTTTAATTTATGTTTTCATAAATATGATCCCTGTTTGTGCCACTCCACTAAAGAAGAAGAGCGGAATGATACCACTGGGGAGGATACCGACGAAACCATTGTTGTGTGTCAAAATGCTGATGTTATTTGTTTGTTTATTTATTGTGTATATTTTGTAAACATTGTAAATAAAATCACATATCATTGTTTTAATAGTAATCTCCATTTCATGTCAATTTCATTTTTATAATTTTAATTTTTTTTTTTTTTTAAATTGAAGTGATTTGAAACACTTCACTATGGAATAAATGAAATATTGTACACAATGTAATTTGGTTTAAGTTGTCTTTGTTGAGAACAGAAATGGATGATGGAATATATTTTTCAAAACCCCGTCCACCAAAGGCATGCGGGCTGCAAAGTCCTGTGTGTGAAATGAAATTGAGTTTAACGTCCTACTGTTCTGCTCCGAACTGGGCTAATGAAGACAGGCATATGCCATACAGTGTGCTACGAGGAAAATTTTTCCCAGACAGCGGCACTACAGCCTACTCTTATATCGAATTCCAACTGTCAAGGGATCTTTTACGTGCAAGCCAATGTGTACATTGGTCCTCGGTTTTTCGTCCCATCCGTCCTGCATCACTGACAAGAGAGAATCGCGCCGGAAAATCTGGATGAACTTTCTCGACCAATACAGGGATCGCACGAGCCAGTGTCCTCTGTGTGTTTGTTGAGAACAGAAACAGGTCGTGAACATTTTTCAAAAACCCCTTCCACCAAAGGCTCGCGGGCTGCAAATTTCTTTTTCATCCTCCCATTTGTATCCTACGCTTGACTTGCTATGGAAATGCTTGTTTGTGAAATCGCCCCCAGTAACAAACGAACCCTTCAACCAACAATATCCAGTTTTTCTAGCCCACCACTCCACGATAGTAGAGGGGTTGGGTGGTTTTATGCATGCACGTTAAATCACAAGGTCTAAGTCAAGTGGAGTGGTTTTGATTCCTTGCTTGTACATGACAAGGAGTAGGGTCGTCTGTCTAACCTTGTGGATTTTCTCTGGGTCCTCTGGTTTCCTTCCACAGCTAAAGACCCCTACACACAAGTGTATTATTGGAATACAATTGAATATGTTAGTCACCTAATGACCTAGTTGGAGTTGAGTGAACATTACACCGCATTTCTCTGTCTTCACCGGAGAGCAGAACAGTACGATGTTAAACCACATTTCATTTCTCTCTCCACCATAGTATTAACACATTATTCCCTTCCTTCTTCCCAGGTAACTGGGATTGCATTAATATGTTTACCTGCATCATCTGTTTCAGGAAGAGATATCTGGTATATGTAATAAAATGAAACCAGGGTTTTAAATCCTATTTTTCACCACTAACCAGGTTAATAAAGACAGGCATATGTCATCCATGCTACGAGGCGAGAGAGAAATGGGGTTTAACGTCCACTTGACACAGACTAGGTCATTTCAAGACTAACATATGGTTTAGTTTTATTTCAATAATTCGCTTGTGCGTAGGGGTCTTTAGCAGTGGGAGGAAACCAGAGGAACTGAAGAAAACCCACGAGGTTGAACAGACAACCCTACTCCTTGTCACGTACAACCGGGGATTCGAAACCACGCCAGTTGACTAAATGACTGGCCTCGTGATACAGCGCGCACATGCTAACCATTCGGCCATCCAACCCCCCATGCTATGAGGGAGATTTAGCCCGAAGAGCTGTATTTCTACCTGCTTTTCATAAAATTCCAACTATCGAGGGGTCTTTGACATAAACGCTAACGTGTACACTGGACCTCGGTTTTCCATACCATCCCAATCAGTCGACGCGGTTCCTTGCCAGGTCCTCAGTCCTGAACCACTCACAGGGAAAACCACACTGATAAAACCCAGAGAAACTTTGATGGCCAACCCCAGGATTGAACAAAGGAACCCTGGGTAATCAATGATCCTCTGGATTCCCAGGCCCTAGTTCACAAAGGACTCTCAGACTTAAGTTAAGAATTTACTCAAAAATGTTCACCTTATTGTAACTAAAATATAGCCCTTTATAAAACTTTTGTTGTTTTAATGTATCAAATACATCAATAAGAAACTATGTGCAAAGTTTTGTGTTTCTGGATCAAAGATATTTCTCATAAACAGTGATTGAAAGTTGAGTTCTTAACTTAAGTCTGAGAATGCTCTGTGAACTGGGGACCGTTGTATGTAAGCATATACGATCTATGGATCTATGCACAATGTAAAGCTGCATCTGCCATTTTCACTAGAATAGGATCAGTGTTTGCACAGAGTACAAAAACGTTATACAATGTACTTTTCTGCTGTCAACTAGGGAATGAGCCGCAAAGCTTTCAGAGACGGTTGTCAACTAGGGAATGAGTCGCGAAGCTTTCAGAGAAATGGTTATTTTCCAACATTTAAGTATGGAGTATATCCTGCTTTGTGTATGATACTAACAAAATATGAATAGGACTGGAATGTTTGTGCATATCTTTATATAATGTTCAGTCAGGATATGTAAATAAACTATAGAATAACATAAAAACAACAACAAATATTGGTAACATTATAAAGCTACAGATATTAAATGCGTGTAAAATGCATACTCAAAATTAAGCCCATCTTTAAGCCCCCCTCCCAAAAAAATAAATTTGGTAAATATGTCTCTTTAATCTCCCAAAAACCGAGAGATTTAGTGTCATAGACATTTTTTTTACCTTACAGTATCTTTTAGAGTTCTTTGAATAAGGGTTAAAACTCTAAAGCTCGATAACTTTGATTTGAGCGAGAGAGAAATGGGGTTTAAGTCCACTGGACACAAACTAGGTCATTTCGTGACTAACACATGGTTCAATTTTAATTCAATAATTCGCTTGCGCGTAGGGGTCTTTAGCAGTGAGAGGAAACCGGAGTACCCGGAGAAAACCCACGAGGTTGGACAGGCGACCCTACTCCTTGTCACGTATGCCTAACTATACAGATAAACAAGCCTTACATTAAAGGCCTAAATATACAAATAAACAAGCCTTATATTAAAGGCCTAAATATACATATAAACAAGCCTTACATTAAAGGCCTAAATATACAAATAAACAAGCTTTACATTAAAGAAAGGCCTAAATATACAAATAAACAAACTTACATTAAAGGCCTAAATATACAAATAAACATGCTTTACATTGAAGGCCTAAATATACAAATAAAAATTAAACATGAAATGCACAACATTCGTTGCAAAGATAATACCCACATGAGTCGTCTAGATTACTGTGGTGCCCTGCCGAGTTATACATTGTGCGAATATGGTGTAAGGTTTGACAACTATTTGGAATCTTTCATATAACTAAGCACTATTACATATAAATTATTTTTAATAATAATAATAATAATAAATATACGAATACATGAGTTGTTTATATTGCACATATATAAAGTACGTTCACAATTATTTAGGAATGAAATCTTATATACAGTGGCGGGCTGGGTCTGAAAAAATTGGTTGCCAGGAGACAAAGGGGGCCCACCCACCAATACAATTCTATCATTTAATTTTTAAAATGAATAAATTAAATTTTCAAAACATATGTAAGTGGAAACAAAAAGATGTAATTATAATTTTCCTGATTTTGTCTAATGGCTAAGGTGGCCCATTTCCTCAGGGGCCTACTTGCCATTGGGCAAGCTGACAACCTGGCCAGTCTGCCACTGCTTATATGTAACTAAAGCAGTATATCAATGATTTGTAATAATAAATATACAAATCCAAGAATAAATATGGGACTCTATGTGAGTTATAAATATTACTGGTATATTTTATCATAATAGACTTGACCGAATTTTGTACTAATCATCAATAACAAACAGTTTTTCACCACCTAATAATATAAAGTGGGCCAGCTTTAAGTCTATTGGACCTATTGCCTCCAATAAGGGCATCAGACTAAAGTGATCTACAACAGTCTTGTCAAGCCTTCACTCAGTCTGATTAAAATACAGATCTATATTTCGTTTCATTTTTTTATACTTACGATGGCCTACACAACATGAAGATCTGACCGGTTGTAGTGGCTTTTGACCCTATGATGTCAGTCAGACATTGATTAATTAAGCAGCGTTGACGTTTCTAGCGGTTTACCCACAGTTACGTTCATCACACGCCAAGAACTCGCCGTAATAGACCGTTTCATTGGCTAATCCCTCACATTAACACTATAACTACTCTTCCAGATCCTAGTGTTGTGAAGACAAGTAAAACGAAATTTTGAACTTTAAAAAACGAAACAAAATAGGATCTGTGTCTTAATAAGATTGGCCTTCACTTGACTATTCACAATTATTCACAAAAACATAAACTAAAATACCTTTAGAAAGCAGCCTTTTCATTAGTTAAGAGCTGAAATTTTTTCTAGGATTTAAACTCTCAACCAATGGAAAAGGCCCAATCTTTAAAATATTAAAAAAAGTTTCACGAATAAAGCGTGCAGGGACTAGCCAAAGATGTTCCCAATCGACCGGCCCTGAATGTTGTATTAATTAGTCCATCTGGCTGTATTCGTCGTAACCTACAGTTTTGATCTCTCCATGTTTTAATGTTATAAATTCATCTAAACTTATACTTCTTTTCTTTAATTCTTCTTCCAGTTTCTCTTTTGGCTCCATATAAGGCTAAAATAATTTTAAAAGGTTTGTTTTAAAAATTTGAATGACTTGGAATTACAAGCTATCCTTTGGGATATCAACACAAATAATGAAATGGGGTTTAAGTTCTGGTCTTAATTTTTTACACCAACTGGGCTAATGAAGACCGTCATAAGCCAATGCAGTATGAGGGCTGCAACATATCGTCTTACAGTATATCGTTGCAGCCCTAGTATGCTATGAGGAAAATTTTACCCGGACAGTTTACGAATACTCTTCTTTAAATTCCGATTGCCTAGTGTTCTCAGAGATGCATTATGTAGGCGCTAAATCTGCCTATTGCACGTTTTTATTTTGACTTCAAATGTTATAAAAACTATTATTTAGACATTTATTAACATAACAAGCTTATAGATGATCAACTCTCTAGAACATTGATGGCACAGAAGTAAATGGATTGAAATACGATTGCCATTTAATGATTTAATTTAAAAATGGAGAAGCAAGGAAATTTTCAATTATCTATTCTTGAACTAGCAAAATCGGCCAGTTCTTTATCTAAATCTTACAAAATGCATCTTTAATGTGCACGCCATGTACATGGGAACTTGTTTTTTCGTCACATCAAAAATCTTGTGTCTGGATTCAATCAGAGTAAAATGAGTCCCATCAAATATTTTTCCTTCAGAGAATATTTTTTCACAATATTGCATTTTGCAAAAAGTTCAAAATACATTGAATAACAATCCGCAGTTTCGTCACTAAGAGTTAAGGTCCTTGGTCACATCAATGGCAGGAGGCCTGTCATTTTTTGAGGGGTTTAAAACAAATGTCCAAATGGTTATATCCTCAAAAATCAAACGTATTCAGACTTCGATTGTTGATGAATGATGGTTTTTTATGGTAAGTCTTAATCATACATATTAAAATTAAGCCCCAAATATTGCCTGTTGTATTTTTTTCTGGCCATGGACCACCTTACCATAGAATAGTATTTGTATGATGTTATATGGTAAGTCTTATCATATATATTAAAATAAGCCCCAAATATTGTCTGTTGAATTTTTTTTCTGGCCATGGACCACTCGACCATAGCATAGTATGTAAGTCATATGTTAAAATAAGCCCCAAATATTGTCTGTTTGTTGTATTTTGTTTCTGGCTATGGACCACCCTACCAAATATAGTATTTGATTCAATCTTACCTCGTATGTTAATTTAAATGTTCCCCAGTGTATACCAAGTGAATGTTCAGCTTTTATATCTAGATGTATATCTACAGCTTCTACAGGATCTACATGTTGAGGACACATAAACCATCTACAATATATAATATCATTTTGTTGTTCAGTTTGAGAACCAGAATACATTCTTAGTATGTCTTAGTATGTATGTGACAAGGAGTAGGGTCGCCTGTCCAACCTCGTGGGTTTTCTCCGGGTCCTTCGGTTTCCTCCCACAGCTAAAGACCCCTACACGCAAGTGAATTTTTGAAATAAAATTCAACCATTTGTTAATCCCAAAATGACCTACTTTGTGCCGAGTGGACGTTAAACCCCATTGCTCTCTCTCTCTCTCTCTCCCTAAAGGGTTTTCAAAAGAAAAAGATGCACCCCGAATTCGTGTAGCTTATTCTCTTTAAATGACATTTAATCCAAAATGCAAAATTTCCTCCACTTCTTACTAAATGAAATGTAGAGAGAGAGGGAGAGAGAGAAATGGGGTTTAACGTCCACTCAACACAAAATAGGTCATTTCGGGACTAACATATGGTTCAATTTTATTTCAATAATACGCTGGCGCTTTGGGTCTTTAGCAGTGGAAGGAAACCAGAGGACCGTGAGAAAACTCACAAGGTTTGACAGGCAACCCTACTCCTTTTTCTCGTTCAACCGGGGAATCAGAACCAAGCCAGTTGACTCAATGACAGACCTTATGATACAGCGTGCACATGCTAACCATTCGGCCATCCGCCACCACCTCTTTAAATGACATTTAATCTGAAATGCAAAATGTTTAGAGGTGACTGTATAGGTAGGCTATGCCCATTCCTCAATCCCTTGAATAAAACATTGTTTTAAAAAAAAGTAAAATGTAGATTTACCTTGGTTCATAAGCCCCAATAGGAATAGCAGCCAGAGTAAAAGGTCCGTATTTTTCACCAATTTCTTTAAAACCTTCACAATATCCTGTATCTCCCGCAAAATAAAAACTATGTTTAGGACCAATCACAGCCCAACCACCCCATAGCGCCTGAAACAAATTAATTATTGTTATTAAGTAAAAATCAGCAACCAAAATATGATGAGTACTGTATCTCTTTAAGAACCCCCCTCCCCCCGCCCCCCCCCCCCTCAAAAATAAATTTGGCAAATATGCCTCTTTAATCCCCCAAAACTGAGAAATTTAGTGACATGGACACTTTTTTTACCTTACCTTCTCTCAGCCAAAGACCCTTATGCACAAGCAAATTAATCAAATAAAACTGAACCCTTTTATTTCCAGGCTTGGTTAGGTTTAAAAACATCTATGATCGTAAACATCATTCATTCAGTAGTAGGCCTACCTTGTTCGTGTCTGTGACACCACGTTTACTCCAATGTTGAGCTGGTGTACTAACAAACTTAACGTCTGGTTTGCCAGGAAACTGCTGTTCCTCCCACCAGGTCATTTCTTCAACATTTTCACAACCGGAATCGCTCATCCATTTCTTCATACCTTGTGGTACATACCATCGCAGATCTTTACCGAATTTTTGATTGAGTTCTTTGACAGACGACAGATCGAGATGATCGTAATGATTATGACTGATGACCACAGCGTCTATTTTTGGTAAATCTTTTATCTGACATGGCACCCGACGATATCGCTTTGGCCCGGCAAACGATACAATAGAACACCTCTCACTAAAGACGGGATCTGTTAAAACTGTGATATCGTCAAATTTTACGAGAACTGAAGCGTGTCCTATCCACATTGTCTTAACACCAGTCAGTACAGGCCTATCAAACTCTGTTAGATCGGGTTGTATTATTGGTAAATGTATATCCAATTCCTGAAATTATTTTACAATGTAATGGGGTTTAACGTCCTACTGTTCTGCTCCTATAATGGGCTAATGAAGACAGGCATATGCCATGCATTGGGTTATGAAGGAAACCCTTATATTGAATTCAAACTGCCAAGGGATCTTTTACGCGCACGCCAATGTATACATGGGACCTCGGTTTTTCAGTTCATCCAAACGACTAGACAGTTGTCCTTGTCAGACCCTCTGTCCTGCACCACTGACATGGGGAAACCATTTCGGAAAATCCCAATGAACTTTCTCGGCCAATGCAAGGATCGAACACGCGACCTCCAGGCTAACGAGCCAGCATCTTACCCACTTAGCCACTGTGGCTCCTATTTTCTATAGGAGCTTTTTACATGTGATGTATTTCCAGTGTCTATTTTTAGCTCTGGAAGACTGGCCTAATTCATCATGTGTCTTAACATGGTAATCGCTAAGGAAAACAACGTCTTTATCTCTTTATAGAAAACGTATTCTTGAATGTCACTCTTGTTGTAAGTTGTGTTGCATTCGTAACAAATTACTGATTTTAAATCATGTCTAAATTTTTTTGTTTTTGATGTTTTAATGACGTTATACTCTAACCAAACTCCCAACATTAATAAGTAGATAGATTGTGAAATCCAAGATGGAGATTCAGTCAATACATACTTTTTCTCCAGGAATATTGCTATTATCTTTTTCTGTTACAATAAATTTAAAGAGATTAGTTAATTTGGGATCTCTCCATGTTTTCCAAGGATTGTAAAAACAACCATCTTTGAAGAGAGGTCTTGTTAATTCATCTGTCTGTGGCCCTGTGGAACTTGACCCGGACACCGATTTTTCTCCTGCGGTAGCCATATCGAAAAACTTGTTATAAATCCTGTAAAAGGAAAGAAAATCTAGTTGAAACAAATTGTTTATGATATGCTAATCAAATTTGTTGATAACAACTATTAATAGTATCATTATCTGGTAAATACTATCTTATATGTTAAAATTACTAGAAGCCATTTATTTCAGATAAGAAGAGAGAACAGCAAGTCACAGTAATTTTAAAACACTGTAAGATATCCTTAAATGACATTGAGAGAGAGAGAGAGAGAGAGAGAGAGAGAGATGGGGTTTAATCTACACTCCACACAAACTAGGTCATTTTGGGACCAACATATGGTTCAATTTTATTTCAATAATTCACTTGTGCGCAGGGGTCTTCAGCAGTGGGAGGAAACGGGCGACCCTACTCCTTGTCACGTACAACTGGGGAATCGAAACCACGTCTGTTGACTCAATGAGTCAATCAGACTTATATGTAATCCCCATCATGAATAAACCCCATTTCATTTCATTTCTGCCCTTAATCGGTCCTAGGACTGATGAAACACATCAACATTGTTTCTTTGTTACAGGTCAAACCCTGTCAATTATTAAAACAATGACAAAATCAATAAGTCATATATACCCCTAAACTCACACCCCCGGAGCCCCAGGATTGAGAATTAAAACTTACAAATATGACGCTACTGCTGATAGACCTGTTAATGGTGGCCATAAATATTTCATTTACCAGAAAACAATGTGTACTCAATCTGTATTGTTTACTCAATGTGATCTGTATTGGTTATTCAATCTGATCTGTATTGGTTACCGTACTCAATCAATGATCTGTATTGGTTACTCAATCTGATCTGTATTGGTTACTCAATCTCATCTGTATTGGTTATTCAATCTGATCTGTATTGGTTACTCAATCACTGATCAAACCTGTAATAAAAATGTATGAATTATTTCAGAGGCTTCTAACCCAAACCAGTTTATAGCTCTTGTGATTGCGGGACCTCCGGTGGCTAAGTGATTAAGGAGGTCACAGGTTTGTTCCTGGTTTTGGCCGAGAAAATTCATCACGATTTTCTGGCATGGTTTCCTTTTGTCAGACGTGCAGGACGGAGGTCCTGACAAAGAACAGTGTCTAGTCGTTAGCATGGCACAAAAAACAGGGTCCTGTGTATGGGCCTACACATTGGCATGCACGTAAAAGAACCCTTGACAGTTGGGATTCAAACAAAGAGAAGGCCCTGTGCAGCTGTCTGGGCAAAATTTCCCTCATATCATTAGCCCATATCTTGTGCTTGTACCATAAGATGCTCTTGTTAGGAACTGAATCAGTGAGCCAAAAGGCATGATTAATCCATAGGCTACATCTAGGGAATTCCCCGTGACTCATTGTCTATGATATCACCCATGGTGGATGTTAAACTCCAGGACTCATCACTGACAGAACAATCACACAGCACACCACATCAATTAAAGAACATTAGACCTACCTACCACATAGGTATCCACTCTAACATTTAGACCATTAATCAATATAAGCATACATTATATAAGCATACATAATTCTAATATCAACAACCATGATTCAGCTAATAATTTTACATAATCCTAGTTATATAAATTATTGTAAACAAGAATTATTTATCATTTTTTACAGATTTAATATGATTTATTTAAAAAAAAATAGCTTTGGCTACTTGTCACCTTAATTAATTCCTTTGAATTTTACCTGCCATATATTCTAGAATGACTGCAATAAATTCTTGATTGTCATCCTTCGCAATAAGCAATCAACACCGACATGTATTTTGTTATACAACTTGCCCATTTCTTGACCTTAGGTCTCTTTAACATTCATGACACAAATGACTGGTCCCTTTTCAAGTAAAATTTTGGACTGGATATTTGTCTAATTTGCAAATTATATTCCATGTTCATTCATTTAAAATACTAATGTATTATCTTTATTTCTAATTTAATTCCATACTTTATAGTTCATACTACATATACTATTTCATTCATTGTTTTATCTACTAGTTATTCTGGGTGGTAGTTTAAAGGGAGGCAACTACAATTACAAGAATAAGGATTCAGACTAGTAATCCTCGGCCTGTATGGGTTAACTAACATTGAACAACAGGTACAATATGTCAATGTCATCTGGGGATAACATGGAAGGGTTGCCTCAAAATATAGAATATTCACTAAAACCTGGCAGAAAATGTAAATTCCAACCATTCTAAACCATAAAACCAAGAAACCGAATGAAAAGGGGATAGAAAGACTTGTTATAAATTCTTGGACTAGCCTACCTTATCGAAAAAAAAAAGCAAATATTTTACTGAATTTACATATGCTATCTTTATTTCAATAACAAATAAATAACAAATAAATTTCTTATAAAAATATATTAAAATTCAAGAATGACACAAGCTTTATAGAAGCAAATAGTATAAAATAAATAGTGTTATATATTAAGTTATGTTTATGCACAGACATTATAATACATACTAAAATAACAGAGAAATATCACATCCACAACACTACTGGATAAAACAACATAACATGTATTAAAGTCATAGATCGTGGATTTTTGGCACGATATCTAATTTTTCAAGCCTTAAACAGAGATAAATCCGCCTATTGCAGGTCTTTCTTTGGGTCTTAAAATGTTATATAAATTTTTAATTAGACATTAATTAACATGACAAGACCATAATCAACTCTATAGATGGCATTGGATGGCTCCAATTTTAAGTAGATTAGAACATTGTTCGGCCATTCAATGATTTAATTTAAAAATGGACAAGCGAGACTAAGACTCGAATGACCAGTACAGTGATTACAATTAATGCACACATTTTGTGCAAACTACATCCATTGATAAAGTCACTCAAAATAAAGTAATTTGAATGAAATTTTCAATATATTCATTTTGCATTATCTATTTTTGAGGTATTATAGAGAGAATAGCCAGCTCTTTATATTAATCTTACATAATGCATCTTTAATGTATTCAAGTTGGTTATTTAAGGGGGGAGGCTATCCGAAAAATTTTATTCTGAAATGTTAAAGCTATTGAATTGAAAATAGTACAAGTAGTTAGAAAATGTAATAAACAAGGGAAAACTAGCATTAAGAAAAGTTGTTGCCAGGGTAACACATTTTTTAGGTAAAAATTATGAAAAACGTAGGTACACTATATCTCTGTAACTAATTAAGATATCTTTGCCAAATTTGCAGAATATATATATATCTACCACATAGTCAGACAGAAAGCAATTTGAATTATCACTAATATTTCAAAATATTTCTCCAAAGACAAAATATTGTGGTGAGGTAAATGTTTTAAACACCATTTTCAAAGAATCTATAATAATTATAGAGAAAAACTCTCTGTCTGGTTTTAGGGTTATCATTAAAGAATAAGCAGTCCGAATATGAGACATTTATCTTTATTAGTGCCAGAGATATGGTGTACCTACATTTTTCATACTTTTTCCCCCAAAAATGTTTTACCCTGGCAACAATTTTTCTTTATTTTTAATGTTAGTTTTCCCTTGTTTATTACATTTCCTAACTACTTGTGCCATCTTCAATTCACTAGCTTTAGAATTTCAGAAAGCATTTTTCGGCAGCCTCACCCCTTAACAATTAATTAAGAAACCAAATTATCAACAGAAGATAATCTGCTGAACGGATAAAAAGAGGCCCATCAAAAGCATATACCCAACATCTATAGGTGACACTGGCTTGCTTATATTGTCTGCAGAGAATGCAGAATATTGCAACATTTTCAATTAATCATATCTTTGTTAATTCCTTTCCGAGATTCGACTTCTATAAGATTAGCCTATAGATCACAATCGATTCAAAATCTCACAAATGGCGTTCACTGGTTTCAATTAAACATCACAAGCTTTTTGATATTAAATAAGTTCTTTTAAATTCTAGCGATCGGTTGACTGATATCTATTTTTCAAAGATATTCAATTCCCCATGCTTTACAGTCACAAATTCTGTTGGCTTTAAACCTGCTTCTTCAACTGCTAAAATCAGATCTTCTCTTGGCGCCAAATAATGCTAAACAAAAATAAAGAAATGATCAACATCATGGGAGCAAAGGTGGCTCAGTAAGTAATGTATGATGCCGGCTTACTGACCAGGATTTCCTGGGTTTAATCCCAGTGTTGGTTCGGATCTTGTCAGTGGCAGGTATAGGCAGTGTCTAGTCATTCGGTTGGGACCAAACAAAATGAATGCTTGTACACATGCTGGTGTGCATGTAAAATATCCCTTGTCAGCTGGAGTCCAACAAAGAGTAGATCAAAGTGTCACTCAATCTGATTACAATACAGATCTTATTTCGTTTTGTTTTTTTTTATATTTGCGATGGCCTAAACTACATGAAGATCTGACCAGTTGTAGTGGAAGGTTGCGCCAGGCGTCATACAAGCAGTTTTTGACTCTATGACGTCACACAATTGATTAAACAATTCAGTGTTGATGTTTCTAGTGGAATAACCATAGTTCCGTGCAATGTAGGCCAATAACTTGCCGTAACAGACCGTTTCATTGGCTAATCCCTTACATCAATCAAAATGCAGGTTATATAACAACTCTTCCAGATCCTAGTGTTGTGAAGACAAGTAAAACGAAATTTTGAACTATAAAAAAATGATACGAAATAGGATCTGTGTTTTAATCGGACTGAATGTCACTGTTCAGGAAAATTTTCACTCATGGCACATTGCATGGCCTATTCTAGTTGGCAGGACATGATATAGTATCATGGACCCAGAATGAAACCCGTTGCCTCCTTTACATATAATTTCATAAGTTAAAAATGGGGGGGAGAGAGAGAGAGAGAGAGCGAGAGAGAGAGAGGCTTTTATGTCCACTGCCACAAACCAGATCATTTCGGGACTAACAGATGGTTCAATCTTATTTCAATAATTAACTTGTGCATAGGGGTCTTTAGCAGTGAGAGCAAACCGGAGGATCGGGAGAAATCCCCCGAGGTTGGACAGACGATCCTACTCCTTGTCACGTACAACTGGGGATTTGAAACCACGCCAGTTGACTTAATGACAGACCTTATGCACATACTAACCAAATACCCCCCCCCCCCCAATACCAAATAAATAGTTATTTTAATAAATGAACTTACTTCATGAGCCATCATATTAAAGGTTCCCCAATGAATACCAACGGAATTGAGTGACTTGACATCTTTATGAATTTCTACAGCTTCGGATGGACTCACATGTTGTGGTGACAGAAACTCCCTATAATAAAAATTTATTCTTATTTCGGAGAGAGAGAGAAATGGGGTTTAACGTCCACTCAACACAAACTAGGTCATTTCGGGACTAACATATGGTTCAATTTTATTTCAATAATTCGCTTGCGCGTAGGGATCTTTAGTAGTGGGAGGAAACCAAAAGACCCAGAAAAAGATTGGACAGGCGACCCTACTCCTTGTCACGTACAACCGGGGAATCGAAACCCTGCCAGTGGACTTAATGACAGACCGTATGATACAGCGAAACCCTGCCAGTGGACTTAATGACAGACCGTATGATACAGCGCGCACGTGACAACCAACTCATCCCAAGTTAGAAGACAACCAACTCATCCCAAGATAAAAGACGATAAAAGACCACTCATCCCAAGTTAGAAGACAACTAATCCCAAGATAAAAGAACATGGGTCGAGGACTCGAGATATAAGACAACTCTTCCCAACGAATATACGACGTAAGTGATAATTAAATACAATAGTTGTTGTGGTATTTATTTGTAAACGTGATAACTTGGCCAAAGTGGTCTTATATCTCGACCCGTGTATTAAACCAAACAAAATTATTTTGGGATGAGTTGTCTTTTATCATGGGATGAGTTGTCTTTTATCTTGGGATGAGTTGTGTTGTCTTTTATCTTGGGATGAGTTGTCTTTTATCTTGGGTGAGTTGTCTTTTATCGTCTTTTATATTAGGATGAGTTGTCTTCTAACTTGGGATGAGTTGTCTTTTATCTTCAGGTGAGTTGTCTTTTATCGTCTTTTATATTAGGATGAGTTGTCTTCTAACTTGGGATGAGTTGTCTTTTATCTTTGGATGAGTTGTCTTTTATCATCTTTTATATTAGGATGAGTTGTCTTCTAATTTGGGATGAGTTGTCTTCTAACTTGGGATGAGTTGTCTTATATTGGGATGAGTTGTCTCGGCATGAATTGTCTTTTGGATGAGTTGTTAGGTATTCGTTCTAATAGCTATCTTGTTAATCTACTAGAAAAGTCAGTCATTGTTATCTGTCTCAGTTTATTGACTGTCCTTGGGTTTTAGGATGACATATCCAGATAAATAAATAAACTTACCGTGGTATATAACAGCCAATAGGAATAGCAGAAAGTGTAAAAGGTCCATATTTTTCACCAATTTCTTTAAAACCTTCACAATATCCTGTATCTCCCGCAAAATAAAAACTATGTTTAGGGCCAATCACAGCCCAGCTACACCACAATGACTGAAATTGTACCAAAAATATATTATCAGCATTTTACAACTTCATAACCACAATCATTTTTCCTCTGTTTCGCTACAAATCCCCTATGTAATAGCCTTTGATATTTTTTGTTTTAATCCTGGTGTTTTCAGAGAATTTTCCCATGATTTTCCAGCGTGGTTTCCCCTTTGTTATTGGAGAGAGAGAGAGAAATGGGGTTTAACGTCCACTCGACACAAACTAGGTCATTTCGGGACTAACATATGGTTAATTTTTATTTCATTAATTCGCTTGCGCGTAGGGGTCTTTAGCCAGTTGACTTAATGACAGGCCGTATGATACAGCATTTGGCCATCCAACCCCCCTCTTTGTTATCGGTACAGGATGGAGGGCCTGTCAACAAAAAGTCTCTAGTCCTTCGGATGGTACGAGAAACAGTGGCGTGCACATAAAAACACCCTTGATAGTGGAATTTATTTGCTGTCAGGATAAAATTTTCCTCATATATAGCCCACTGTATGGTGAATGTCCGTCTTCATTAGCCTTGTTTGTAATGTAGGGAGAGAGAGAGAGAAATGGGGTTTAACGTCCACTAGGTCATTTCGGGAGTAACACATGGTTCAATTTTATTTCAATAATTCGTCTGCGCGTAGGGGTCTTTAGCAGTGGGAGGAAACCGGAGGATCCAGTGAAAACCCACGAGGTTGGACAGGTAACCCTACTCCCTGTCACGTACAACCGGGGAATTGAAACCCCGCCAGTTGACTCATTGCTAGACCTTATGATACAGCACGCACGTGCTAACCATTCGGCCATCCACCCCGCCTCACAAAAGTAGGAAGTTAAACCCCTTTCTGTTCATTCATTCGGTAGGCCTACCTTGTTTGTGTCTGTGACCCCACGTTTACTCCAGTGTTGTGAGGGTGTGCAAACAAACTTAACATCTGGTTTATCAGGAAACTTCTGTTCGTCCCACCAGGTCATTTCAACAACATTTTCACAACCCACATCCATCATCCATTTCTTCATACCTTGTGGTACATACCATCGCAAATCTTTACCGTATTTTTGATTGAGTTCTTTCACAGACGACAGATCGAGATGATCGTAATGATTATGACTGATGACCACAGCGTCTATTTTTGGTAAATCTTTTATCTGACATGGTGGATCACGATATCTTTTAGGACCGAGGAATTGTACAAACGAACATCTTGAGCTGAATATTGGATCTGCTAGAACTGTAATATTGTCAATTTTAACCAAAACGGTTGCATGGCCTATCCAAATTAGAGGTATGCCTGTTGTACTACTGGAAAATCTATTGAAATCAGGTGGAATGATGGGCAGAGTTCTTTCAACTTCCTAAAAGAAATAATAATAATACCATTGTAAATAATAATAATCATTTTATATTTCTATAAAGTGTGAGAGCGAGAGCAATGGGGTTTACTGTCCACTCGACACAAACTAGGTCATTTTGGGACTAACATATGGTTCAATTTTTTTTCCATAATTCGCTTGCGCGTAGGGGTCTTTAGCAGTGGGAGGAAACCGGAGGACCCGGAGAAAGCCCACGAGGTTGGACAGGCGACCCTATTCCTTGTCACGTACAACCAGGGAATCGAAACCCAGCCAATTGACTCAATGACAGACTTTATGATACAGCACGCACGAGTTAACCATTTAGCCATCCAACCCCCCTCTATAAAGTGTAGAAGATTACCTGCATGTAGGACAGAGAAGTGTTAATTAAATAACCAGATCTATAGTACAGCAGACCATAATGTTTCAGCAATAGAGGCTAAATAAATGCAATACTAGGGCCAATACATTTAAGAGCTAACTGGAAATGGTTAGGGTTCAAATTTCTGTGCCCTCAACGTCAGTGGTACATTCATCTGGTGCACGCGTGCATAAATCTGTCCAAGCAAGGAAGAACATCTAGTTGTTTGGATAGGGCGATAAAAAGCACAATTAGTAGTATGAAATATCCCTGACAGTTGGAAACTGTAGGGTTTAGGGTCACTGTCACTGTCAATCATCCACCGCAGACAAGCGGAAATCTCCCGAAATTTCTCAACCAACGCAACAGCAGCGAACATGAGACTTCCTTAATCAGAGCCAGCGCGACTCAAAAAATCTATTTGTAACGAAATTGATGACCTTTTTTGCTATTAATTTACATATTCGTTAACAAAAATATAAGATTTATCTTTTGAAAAAATAACCTCTTTTAAAGGCGGTTGCTTATTCACTCCATTCTTAATGAATTTGAAAGATTCTTTCAAATTATTTTTCCTCCACGATTTCCATGGATTTTCAAATCTTCCATTAACAAATATTGGTTTTGTTAAACTTGCTGTTTCTCCATAAGTTGATTCTGCCATTTCTGTATTATGGACGAACAAAACTGATGACAAGAGAAAAAAAACTGATTGCTTAAAGGATTTCTCCCTCAGAAAATTTCGTTTAGTTTTATTTCGCGAGGTACAAATTTGTACACAACCCAAAACTTCGGGCATGCGCAGTCTTCTTTATCCTCTCAACGAGGCAAAATGGCAACTCATTTGTTGAAGGTCACGAATAATCTTTCAAAAGTGCTAGCCAAATCAACACGAGTAAGTGTACTATGTTGACTTTGTTGTTCGAAGATCCAGAGAATTGTCACGATGAAAACGGTCATCGCTACATATTTCCATTTGCACAAAAATAATATAATCAGACGACAGTTCTGAAGATAGTGTCGACTAAAAATCAAAAAACGAACGTGACAAAATGAAAACATGTAACCGGGTCTGATTTTGGCAGTTTAATAATACTCGGATGACCTGTCTAATATTGTGAACCTCACAACCTCTCTAACAAGTCGAGAGGGTGTCAATTTATACGTAGAGACATTTATAGAGACGTGTCATGACAACACCTACGGAAACATGCAACAAAATGAGTGAATGGCATCAGACATGCATGTCATGTTAAATCAAATGTTTTGGTTTTTTTTAGCCTAGCTAGAAATCCTAGGAAGTAGAAGGATGTTTTTGAGTTCTTTTTTTTACTTTTTTTTTTTATCAAATTCCAACTGGTAAGGGTTCTTTTAGATGCACGCCAATGTGGTGCACAGGACCTTGTGGTTTGTTTTTTTGCCCTATCCTAAAGACGCTGTCCCTTGTCAGCCCCCCCCGTCCTACACTACTGACAAGGGGGAACCACAGCGGAAAATCCAGATGAACTTTCTTGGCCAACATGGGATCGAACACGGGACCTCCGGGCTAGCGAGCCAACGTCTAACTCACTGAGCTACCTGCCGTTCCCAACTTGAATGTAATGTTTCCTTTATATACTGTCACAAACGGGTGGTACTTTTTACCGCCGACCAATACTTTTACTGCCGACCGTCGTGAAATTACTGCCGACCAAATACTTTTACCGCCGACCACATTGTGATGACTTTCGACCGTAATATAATTGCCACCGACCAAATACTTGTTACCGCGGACCAAATGCTTATTGATTCCTTGTCACCGCCGACTATTTTACGGTTGGTTTTTTTTTTTATAAAAAAGAATACAACAAGAATGTTATTTTTTATTTGAGGTATAATCACGTACAACTGTCGAAAACATTCATATATATTTTAAAGAATATGGGAGGACAAAACTACAATTTAGATATTGAAGGGCAAATATATCAAGATTGTTTCAGCTACTGGTTATAAATAAATAACATTTTAGGCCTATCTTCTATTGTTGCGAACACTTCTACACCTTTTGGTTTGATGGGTTTTTTTGGCTGGTAATTTTGCTTTCTTTACTACACAAAACTTTTTGTTTGTTGAACAAACAATTTCTTCTTCGTCGCTTCCTTTTCGAGTCTTTAAGAAAATTTGCAAAACATTTTTCTTTTTGCTCTTCGCTGAAACAGCGACACTTTTGTTCAGAAATAGAATATGCTTTATAGCGACCACAAAGTTCATAATCTCCAGAAAAATACAGGGTAGATCTTAAATTAATTAATTGAAAATTCACACACATATACTACAGCTTCTCGATTAATTCTGGAGCCTTTTGGGGTTTCCAGTCAATGGCACATTTAAAAATATGGTTTGCGGATTCCGCGTTGTTATTTGTCCATAATTTGACTTCGTCACCTTTTCGGGTGAAATATGACACATGTTTTTTTAATGTAGGATTAATCTTACTTACAGTTTCGTAACGATGCATAGTAATAATGTCCGTGGGTTTGGGAACTAGTGGTACAAACAAGGTTTTGCCATCTGAACGTTTTCTCTCACAACATTGTCCCACTTTTTTAAAAATACACCCAAAATTATCAGCCAGGTAGTCTTGGGAATGACATCTCCCCTTTCCCAAATCCCAAACACCACAATCGTCGTAATAAGTCATTCGTTGTCCCTCCCCTTGTCTTTCTAAATTATCTGTATTATTTACTAAAAACCACACATTAGACTTATCACCTGGGGGGGGCTTTCCTTAAACGCATATTCTTTTTCTATAATCGCCTTATAACAGTTCTTTGCCGACATGAACTTATTGTTTTTTTTAAACTTTGCACATTTATGGGACGCGGGAAAGAATGAGAAGAAAAATCCATGTCGATGGGTTCCGTTTGAATTGGCGTCTTATCAAAAATGTCTGACATTCGCTTGTCGTCACATTTCTCGGGAGATGTAAGGGAGAGATCTGGGAGGGGTTTGGGGATATTTATGGAGGAGTCTGTTGATATTGTTGAGCTGTATAGCTTAGGGTCAAAACTAATATTTTCTGGTGGAAGAACTGGTTTAAGTAGCACGAAATGGGTTGGTGACCAATAGCGATTAAGACGGAGCACCAATAGTATTTGTCCACATTATTTTAACCTCAGGAATAAGATGGGTCTGAAATACCATTAACTGGGGGGAATACAGAATGAATTGGTGCTTTTATAACATCAGCTGCAGCCATCATCGTCCAAACCGAGGAATACAAGGAATCATTAAGCATTTGGTTGGCGGTAACAAGTATTTGGTCGGCGGTAATTATATTACGGTCGAAAGTCATTACAATGCGGTCGGAGGTAAAAAGTATTTGGTCGGCGGTAATTACACGACGGTCGGCGGTAAAAAGCATTCAGTCGGCGGTAAAAAGTACCACCGGTCACAAACTGTAAGACAAGACGTATGATTTTATTCCATTTACATGAAAATGCTACTAAGAAGACCTGGTTATCCGGAATATCACTGACTAGTTTCATTCGTATTGAACTCTTTCGACTGATATGGACTCTGGTGGGCGTTTATTTTTACTATTTCTAAAATCTGGTAGGGTTATAGTTTACACAAATTGACGGGTTACTGGGTCAGTGTGTCTTGGGTTAGTCTCTTAGTGGAGCAGGTGAATTTACTTGAATGTAGTTTAATTTCCAGTAATTTATAGTTACAGTTTGCTGCTTATCCTGCCAGTAAACGATGGAGATCAGCTCAGGCCGCTTCCTATGAAGATACCATCCTCAATGTACCTGAAACAAAAGTATCCGTTCTAGACAATGGTGTAAAAATTGCAACTGAAGACTCTGGAATCCCTACCTGCACTGTAAGTTCACTTGTCTATAGATTCTTGCTTAGGTTGTTAAAGCAAGTAAATAGATTCATTATTCAGATCATTTCTGATTATAAATATTATTTAGTAGTCCAAAATGTCTTATTATGACTATTTTAAATGCTTGAAGCCAAGGCTGAGTCTATCATCCTAATAACAGGAAGAATCAAATGCTTTGAACTAAAAGTTCAGAAAATAATCGAAAGAATAAGTTGAATTTATAAAGTAAAAAAACTTGTGACTATATTGGTTCGGCCCACTGCAAGAATATTTTTAGGTATTTCCATGCATAACAAAGCTAGCTGTAAATAAATGATGAAATTATTATTAATTTGATTTTACGCAGGTTGGTTTGTGGATAGATGCTGGTAGTAGATGGGAAAATGAGAAAAATAATGGCGTCGCTCATTTCTTGGAACATATGGCATTTAAAGGGACGCAACGAAGATCTCAGACCGACCTTGAACTTGAAGTAGAAAATATGGGTGCTCATCTTAATGCCTATACCTCTAGAGAACAGACTGTTTATTATGCCAAATGTTTCTCTCAAGATTTACCTAAAGGTATTTCATCATAAAAATATTGATTTCTCTCTTTCAGCTACTTATCAATAGACAAATTAAAGCCTCGTGCAATTTAAGTGAACTGAAGGAGATGGCACTGTAAAAAAAAAAACCAACAATAATTGATGACAATTGTGTTTTTTTTAAATACCGCATTTCTCTTATTTCCACTTTTTATTAAAAGACATGGGTCACGGTGGCTAAGAGGGTAAGATGCTGGCTCGTAGCCTGGAGGTTGGGTGTTCGATCCCTGCATTGGTCGAGAAAGTTCATCCACAATTCGGCGTGGTTCCCCTCTTGTCAGTGATGCAAAACAGAGGGCCTGACAAGGAGAGCTGTCTAGTCATTCGGATGGTTCGGAAAACTGTACACATTGGGATGCACGTAAAAGATCCCTTGACAGTTGGTATTCTATATAAGAGTAGTGCCGCTGTCAAGGCAAAATTTCCCTCAGCACACTGTATGGCGTATGCCCTTCTTCATTAGCCCAGTTCGAAGCAGAACAGTAGGACGTTAGCCCCATTTCATTTTATTAAAAGAGAAATAATTAAAGCCTCATGCAATTTAAGTGAACTGAAGGAGAGTGGCACTAAAATAAAGAAACGATAATTGATATTTGGTCATTTGCATTTTTTGTACCAGCATCATATGGGCTCTTTCATCCAGACTGTAGTCCAATTTGTGGGCTTTATATATTACGGTCAGTAAGACATCTTGGTTTAAATCACAGTCTTGTGCACAACAAGGAGTAGGGTCTCCTGTCTGGGTATCGGGGTATTCTCTTATTGTTTTAAATTGATATTTTTCAGCTGTAGATATCTTATCAGATATTATCCAGAATAGTAAACTAGGTGAAGAAGAGATCGAGAGAGAACGAGGAGTTATTCTACGAGAAATGCAGGTTACTTGATTTATTCGTCTAATTGGTGTCGTTTATTGTAATGCAAAAATATAACGTAACTTAGAAGATCTTACAATTAAGACTCATGTTCGATCCTTGCACAGGCCGAGATAGTTCAACGGGATATTCAAACATGGTTTTCCCTTGTCAGTGGTGCAGGACAAAGTTACTGAGACTGACATGGACAGCTGTCTAGTCTTTCTGATGGGATGAAAAACCACGGTCCTGTATACACATTGGTGTGCACTTAAAAGATCCCTTGGCAGTTTGAATTCGATCTGAGGGTAGGCCATAGTGTCGCTGCCCGGGCAAAATTTCCTTCATAGCACCCTGTATGATGCATGCCCATCTTCTCCAGCCCAGTCAGAGCAGAAAAGTAGGGTGTTAAACCCCATTTCATTTCATCATACAAATAAGTTCCGAAACCAGGACAGAACAATTACCATCTGTGTTGGGTGGCCATATGGTTTAACACATGTGCTTTAGATCATAAGGTTGGTCAAGTGGCGTGCTTACGATTACCCTTGCTTGTACATGACAGGGAGTAGGGTCACCTGTCCAACCTCGTGGGGCCTCTGGTTGTCTCCCACTTCTTAAGATCCCTTTTCCGCCAGAAAATATTGAAATGAAATTGGACCATATGTTAATCCCAAAATTACCTGGTTTGTGTCAAGTGCACCTTAAACCCAATTTCTTACTCTTTTTATCGTAATGCAAAAGTATTATGAAACTTTAGAAAGTTGATTGAATAAGTACCAAAACCAGGATATGACCATAACAGATTTTAATTACCCTTTTTTTTTTTCTCAGAATAAATACATTCAATTATTTCATTTTCAATTCTGTACTTTTATTTTTCTCTAGGAAGTAGAAACAAATCTACAGGAAGTAGTTTTCGATCATCTTCATGCCACAGCCTTCCAAGGAACAGCTCTAGGAAGAAGTATTCTAGGCCCAACAAAAAATATTCAGTAAGTTTTTATCCGTTGGTTTTTATATACCAACACCGATAGTATAGTAAACGCTCTAGGTGTCAAAGTTAGCACAAAGTATTTATGTTCTTGAGGAAAAAAGGCTAACACTTCTGCAGTGTTTGGTAAATGCAACCCTTATCTTCAAAAGAAGAATAATGTGAAAGTCTTTATGCCCTGCTTAGATAGCTTGGCTGCTGTGGACATATATTTTGTTGGGGGGGGGGGTCACGGTGGCTAAGTGGGTAAGACGCTGGCTCGCTAGCCTGGAGGTCGGGTGTTCAATCCCTGCATTGGCTGAGAAAATTCATCACGATTTTCAGGCGTGGTTCCCCTTGTCAGTGATGCAGGACGGAGCGCCTGACAAGGACAGCTGTCTAGTTGTTCCGATGATACGAAAAACCGAGGTCCTGTGTACACATTGGCATGCACGTAAAAGATCCCCTGACCGTTGAAATTCGATATAAGAGTAGGCCTGCTGTCCGGGCAAAATTTCCTTCATAGCACACTGTATCGCGTATGCCCTTCTTCATTAGCCCAGTTCAGAGCAGAACAGTAGAACGTTAAACCCAATTTCATTTCCATAAAAATAAAATTTTAGGAAAACATTTGCTAGCTTTTGACATATTGAATTATAGATCTTGTGGGGTTTTTTTTTTCAGAACTATAAATAGAAATGATTTAGTAGAGTATGTCAATTCACATTATAAAGGTCCTAGAATAGTCTTAGCAGCTGCTGGAGGTAAGTTTATAATGTTTTAAGGCAGGACACTACCTTATATAGAGTGATCTGTCAAATTTTGATATCGGCTAAAATTGCCCAAAATAGTTAAAATTTGTTGATTTTTCAAGTCGTGTCCAGCCTTTATATTATATAGTGTTAAATATTTAGTCATTTATATAGGTAAATCAAACTTTTAACTTTTAACTTGCTTTTTCCATACTCAATTTTTCACCCATATCAGGTCTTAGAAAATCAAGTTCTCAAAATCTATGAGAGATAATGGTCTCTTCTTTGGAATACGATTAGTGCTATAGCTACTGTGTGCAATAAGGTGATTTTCAAAGTGTTTGTTATACATTTGGACATTTTATTGTACAAAATCTTTTTAGTGGTGTGTTCGGCCACACCCACTTGTTTTATGTGGGATGCAAAATGTTCTTTATTAACATTCAAATAGTAAAATTTATGCCTTATTGCACTCTTTAATGCCTATATATGTTATTCCAAACCACAAATAGTTTGTTTCAATAAAATTGTTGAAGATTTTGATTTCCTAACATAGCCACCATGAATATATAAAAAAATCCAATATGGCCACTATTTCCATGGCAACAAATAAACATTTTGCGCTCAAATTATCAAATCTGATTTGGGACATCATATACTAATATTACACTAAATGGCAAGTTTCTGTTAACAATGTAAAATTCTTAGGTAGTGTCCTGCCTTAACATCCAGTACTAAATATCAATTCTAGTTTCATCATTGATCAATATTTTACATCCAGTATTAAATATCAATACTAGTTTCATCATTGATCAATGTTTTAACATTCAGTAATAAATATTCATATTTACGGATTGATTAGTTGAAACTTTCGGCATTTTACAAATCCAGCCTTCACTTGACTCTGGTTGCGCTTCCAAGGCTGATAGGGAAGGAGTGTCTAGTCGTTTAACAAAGGAATGAAAAACCAAGGTCCATTTCTATATGTATTGTCATGCACGAAAAAGAAACTGTCAGAGTGGAAATCAAAGAAGAGTAGGTGGGCAAAATATTCCTACCTCACGGTTAGTTATAGAAATAAAAATTAACAAATGGTTGTCTGAAAATGACTGGAGTATTGGGTTCACGTGATGATACATACCATTTTGCAAAGAGTTAACAAATTGACATTGAAATTATATTTTTGTTTTCTGTTGTGTTTTAGGAGTAAACCATGATGCTTTAGTAAAATTAGCTGATCAACATTTTGGAAATATAACAGCTGGTTATGATACTGATATACCTCTAATGGAACCATGTAGATATACTGGCAGTGAGGTAAAACTCTTTAATATTATGCCAATCTGATTAAAACACAGATCCTGTTTTGTTTTACTGGTCTTTACTACACTAGGATCTGGAAGAGTTGTTATATAACACAGGTTCTAGTTGATGTGATGGATTAGCCAATGAAACAGTCTGTTACGACGAGCTTTAGGCGCGTCTTGCACAGAACTGTAGGTATCCTACTAGAAACATCAACGCTGATCGGTTAATCAAATATCTGACATCATAGGGTCAAAAGCCGCTTGTATGAGCCCTGGCATGACCCCCCACTACAACTGGTCAGATCTACATGTAGTAAAGACCATCTAAAGTATAAAAAAACGAAACGAAATATAGATCTGTATTTTAATCAGATTGGTATTATGCAGTAGTGGTGGCTTAGTTAGGCGCTGGCTCATTAACCAGATTTAACCTAGAGGTCCCGGGTTCACTCCTTGTGTTGGCCGGGAAAGTTCCTCAGGATTTTCCGGTATGGTTTCCCCCTTGTTAGTGGTGGATGGGAGGGCCTGCAAAGAACAGCGTCTATTTGGGGTACACTTTGGCGTGCACGTAAAAGAACCTTGACAGTTGAAATTCGGAGTAAGAGTAGGCCATAGTGCCACTGTCTTGGCAAAATTACCCTCATAGAACACTGCATGGCATATGCCCCTTTTCATTAGCCCAGTTGGAGCAGAAAAGTTAAAAAGTAGAGCCCATTTCTTTTCTTTAATATTACGCTAGTCTAGATGTCCATATGGACACTTGTCAGCATGATTTTATTTACATTCACTCCGTCCGATTCAGACTTGCACTGAACGGAGGAAGTCAATATTTACATCTCAACGAAGCTAAAGAGTTACTTATCTTCACGCCAGTATATGCTTTTGTATATTGGCTTTAAAATTGAAAATAATTTTAAGTGTATCCTGAAAATTAAAAACAATTTTTAGTGTAACCCGAAAAATGAAAATAATTTTTAGTGTAACCTGAAAACCTAAGATTTGAGGTTCTTATTATTCTACATATAATATATATTGTTATTTTAAGATTCGTGCCAGAGATGACAACATGCCATTTGCCCATGTAGCGTTAGCTGTAGAAGGAGCAGGTTGGTCTAATGCTGACAACATCGCGCTGATGGTTGCAAACACACTCATTGGTAGCTGGGACCGTTCTTTTGGAGGTGGACCTAATCTTGCCAGTCCACTGGCTTCTCTTTGTGCTGAAAATAACTTATGTCATAGTTTTCAGTCCTTCAATACCTGTTACACCGACACTGGGCTGTGGTGAGTAATAATTGCTACATTAAATAGGGAACCATTGGCTAACCTACCATTTTGTGGCCTTGAAGCTTGAATTGTTATTTTTGGACCTTTCGTACTCAGCAACAAGGTCTGGGTAACCACTTAATCAATGGGGTACAACAGATATTCACCCTCTAAACCTCCCTATTCTATGCAGTAACAGCCCTGCCACTACAGTAGTCGTAAATATTTACAGGATGCCCAGTGATAATATAGTAACTTCTCCCCTTAAAAATGAATAATCAAGACTATGTTTTTTATCGTACCAACTTTAGTAATGATGATCAAGGCCAGGCCTAAAATTCAAACGCTAATATATCGGTTCAGAGCGGAGCAAATTGTCTGAAATTTTCATAATATTCCCTTTACATTATCTAGTTTTAACTATTGTATTGAGAACTGGCAGCTCTTTATCGAATTTATCTTTAAATGTCTATTTTATCATGACTGGTAGTCTTGTTTATCAATAAGATATGTTATAGGAAGGACAACTCGTTAATATTATTCTTTGTTATATTTACAGGGGATGTTATTTTGTAAGTGATAAATTACATATAGAAGAAATGTGCTACTATATTCAACAAGAATGGTAAGACAATACCCACAATAGATCAGATTATTTCAAATATCTATAGATCAGGCCCCGAGACTATGTACTAGTGTAACTGATTTTGTATTTATATTAACAGGATGAGACTATGTACTAGCGTAACTGATTTTGTATTAATATTAACAGGATGAGACTATGTACTAGCGTAACTGATTTTGAAGTAAACAGAGCTAAAAATCTATTGAAGACAAATATGTTATTACAGTTAGATGGTTCAACACCAGTTTGTGAAGATATTGGAAGGTAAGTAGAGTATAAAATCAGATTTGGTGTTTCCTTTTCTAGTGGCCGGGGGGGATGGCCGAATGGTTAGCACATGCGCGCTGTATCACAAGGTTTGTCATTGAGTCTCAACTGGCATGGTTTTGATTCCCCGGTTGTACATGACGAGGAGTAGGATTGCCTGTCTAACCTCATGGTTTTTTTTCCGGGTCCTCCGGTTTTCTCCAACTGCTAAAGACCCCTACCCACAAGCGAATTATTGAAATAAAATTGAACCATATGTTAGTCCCGAAATTACTAGTTTGTGTCAAGTGGATGCTTAAGCCCAATGAACGCTCTCGCTCTCTCTCATGGCCAGCACCTGTCTCTTTGATACTTGGTACATGTAAAAGTTGACCAACTCATATCCATGGAGAAAATTAGAGAAAAGTGACATATTAATACAGCTACACACTAAAGTTAATATCCAATTGTCTTTAAATTGATACCCAGTATTTGCGGTCGTGAGTTCAAGAATCCTATTGATTTTCATTGATTTACGATAATTACTGCCAGAGTTATCGCCCTTGATCACTTTGAGAAATCTTGTGGACGCTCTAGTTACATATTTAAATTGTCATGCTTTCTCATATTTCTAGGCCCTATTCGAGTTTAGTGGGCATGCAATAATGAAGCTGGTCCCAGGCATCGCCGAACGTCTGCACGTCACTGCTGCCACCATGACTATTGGCACACATTCCTGCAAAATAAAGTATTGTGTTAATGTGAACATCAATCCCCCATCTTATGTCATTTGTGTTTTTATTTCAGACAAATGCTCTGCTATGAACGTAGAATACCTTTACCAGAACTGGAAGAGAGAATAGAGGTGAGTATACAACTACAGGGGCGTATCTAGGAATTTAGCAGGGGAGGTTCATGGGTGGAGACAACATCCAGTTTGCATAAAGTCTGGTCGATTAAGTCAAGAATTTGATAAAATCAGACGATAAAGTGGAGTCAAAACAGCTGCAATACTTTGCGTCTGAACTGTTTTAATTAGCTTGATAATACTACTGAATATAACCATTGAAACAGATTTATAAAATGAAACAGGGTTTAACATCCTACTGTTCTGCTCCTACTGGGCTAATACTGGCTTACAACATACAGTGTGCTATGAGGGAAATTTTGCCTGCCTACTCTTATATCAAAGTCCAACTGCAAAAGGATCTTTAACCTGCAGGGGGGTTTGGATGGCTAAAGACCCCTACGCGCATGCGAATTATTGAAATAAAAAAATTAAACCACGTTGGTGTGTACACGGCCTTGGTTTTCCGGACCATCCGAACAACTAGACAACTCTCCTTGTTAGGCTCTCTTTCCTGCACCACTGACAAGGGGAAACGACGCTGGTAAATCCTGATGAACTTTCTCGGCCAACACAATGATCAAACTCACGACCTCCAGGCTAGCAAGTCAGCGTCTTACTCACTTAGTCACTGTGGCTCCTAAACAGATTTACAGTTACATTATGAAGTGCTGACACAACCCAAGAGTTTTATTTGTAATAATTTTGTGAACGGTTATCAGGCCTAGAAATTATGGTTTTAGCTGTAGCGGACAAATTGGCTCTTTAACCTTGATATCCTGTGTTCAATCCCGATGTTGGCCTAGAAAGTTTATCGGATTGGCAAGGGACAACGTATAATCAATTGGATGGGATGAAAAATTGAGATCTTGTTTACACCTTGATGTGCATGTTCAAGAACCCTTGACAGTTGGAATTTGATATAAGAGTAGGTTGTAATGCCGCCATCAGGGCAAACTTCCCTCATAGCACACTGCATTGCCTAGTGCCTCTCTTCATTAGCCGTCAGTGCAGAACAGTAGAATGTTAATCCCTGTTTCTTTTCATAAAATGACGGGGCTGGATGGCCGCATGGTTAGCATGTGTGCTGTATGATAAGGTCTGTAATTGAGTCAACTGGCATGGTTTCGATTCCCCGGTTGTACATGACAAGGAGTAGGGGCACCTGTCCAACCTTGTGGGTTTTCTCCGGGTCCTCCGGTTTCCTCCCACTGCTAAATACCCCTACACGCAAGCTAATTATTGAAATAAAATTGAACAATATGTTATCCTGAAATGACCTAGCTAGTTTGTGTCTAGTTGACGTTAAAAACACCATTTCTCTCTCTTGTCATAAAATATACAGATGGTGTTAAATATATAATATTATATTATAGGCTGTTGATGCTGAAGTTGTACGTGAAGTATGTCTTAAATATATCTACGATCAATGTCCAGCTGTTGCTGGAGTTGGTAAGTAATAATTAATAAACTAAAATTACAAAAATAAAATCCACTAGCAAAACACATGGGGATTTTATTTTTAGATTATTTTTGAAAGATTGTTTCCACAGGCAAGCCTGGATATAAGGCACCTGTCACAGACTTTGTCCGTCTCATATTATCATGTAACATATTATATATACCAAGGCTTGCACAGACCTTCATGTCTAAAAAAAAAAGTCATGTGAAGCTGACAAAAATGAAAAATCACTCTCCTGGAATTAAGGACATGAGATGACACGTGTAATCATATGTAATGCTATTTATTATTATGTTTCTTTTATATTTTGAAGGATGCACTTTGATAATTTCTATATTTAATTCACATGTACCAACATTGCATAACAAAAATAAAAATGATTGGGGAGCAGAAGTTTAGATTTGTCGTTGATTTCTTTAAGTATTGTGGTTGGTGCAAAAAGTAAGCCATTAAACCCCATTTTATTTCATTTCACATTCCCATTATTGTAATCCATTTGATTGATAGTGTATCATAAATTTCTCACCTTTTTATAATTTCAGGTCCAATAGAACAGTTACCTGACTACAATCGTACTAAAGCATCAATGTACTGGTTAAGATTATAAAACAAGTATCGGCTAGTTTCGTTTTTTTTTTTTAGAGGATTTCTATTTAAAGAGATATCAAGATGTGATAGTGTTATTACTACAGACTGTGTTTCAAACAAAGACATCTAACATCATCATTTAATTTATAAACTCCGATGTTTTATATGAAATAAAACACCACAAAAGATATACAAGAAACAGAGTGTATATAATATACAATTATTGTTCAAATAAATTGTGAAGAATTGTAAATATTATAAATCTCTTTTCTTTTTATGTGTGTGGAAGAAGAATTGATTAAAAATCAAGTGCTTACTTGTGTCTGTCCGTTCGTCTGGACGCATCTGACTTCTTCTGCATGGAAGGAGGGGGGGGCAAATGGTTAGCATGTGCGCACTGTATTATAAGATCTGTCATTGAGTCAGCTGGTGTAGGGTCGTCTGTTCAACCTCGTGGGTTTTCTTTGGGTCCTCCGGTTTCCTCCCACTGCTAAAGCCCCCTATGTGCAAACGATTTATTGAAATAATATTGAACCATGTGTTAGTCCCAAAATTACCTAGTTTGTGTCGATTGGAAGTTAAACCCCATTTCTCTCCCTCTCTGCATGGAAGGGGTATGGAAACCCTGTGGTGTCAATTGAGGGATCTTGAAGGTTATGGAAACCTTGTGGGGTCTTTATTGGCATGAAAGCTGTGGGGTCTTTAAAGGTATATAGAAGACTTAGGGTGTATGAGATGTGCGGTCTTTTTAAGGCATGGAAGCCTGTTGTATGAGCTGTGGGATCTTTTTATGGATATGGAAGCCGTGGGTGTAAAAGCTGTAGGTTCTTTTAAAGGTAAGGAAGATCTGGGGTTTGAGCTGGCTGGTCTTATAAAGGTACCGGTATAAAAACCCTGTAATAGGGCTGTCATGTTTCCTGCGGCTTCTCCAGTTTCCTCCCACTGCTAAAGACCCCTACGCGCAAGCAAATTATTTAAAATAAAATTGAACCATATGTTAGTCCTGAAATGACCTAGTTGGTGTTGAGTGGGCATTAAACCTGTTTCTCTGTCTCTCTCTCTATAAGGCACCTGTCATAAATATCCTCAGGCACAAATTAGGGTCTTTGTTGGGTCTTGGTATGAAAACCCTGTAAAATAGGGCTGTCAGGTCTTTTTAGAGACCAGGAAATTCTGGGGTATATGAGCAATGCCAATGGGGTCTTTAAATTAGATGGAAATCCAGAGATGTATGAGCTGTTGGGAAATCCTGGGGTGTATGAGCGGTTTGGTCTTTTGAGCAGTGGACACATTAACCGAATGGGTGGACACACTAGCCGAATGCTTCGCCCGATTCACCAGTCGATTGCATCACCTTTCACGTCACATAATTAAACATGGCAGCGTCTATGTCTTCAAACAATCACGTGACTTCTCGATATGAGTGGATACACTCGGCCGAATGCTTCAGCGAAGCGGACACACCAGGCGAATATATCAAACCTGTTTGATTCTGGCGAATCATTCGGCCGAATGACAGTGGACACACTAGGCGAATTTTGACGCTGATTGATTCGGCTTTAAAGGTATGGAACCCTGTTATGGGGTCTTTTAAAGGTAGATGGAAGACATGAGGTGTATAGGCTGTGAGGTCTTTAAAAGAAGATGAAAGACATGGGGTGTATGAGCTGTGAGGTCTTTAAAGGTAGATGGAAGACCTGGAGTGTATGCTCTGTGCGGTCTTTTGTAGTGTATGGAAGACCTGGGGAGTGAGATGTGAGGTCTTTTAAAGGTAAGGAATCCCTGCTGTAAGAGTTGTGGCTTATATTTAAGGGTTCTTAATGCATTTTGAAACAAACTGACCAGAACTGGGTCGAATGAGGTCCCAGTTTGAAATAGGGTAATTATAAGCTTTGGGTGTAAGAAACCCTTGGGTGTAAGAGCTGTAGACCCTTTTAAAGGCCTGGAATACCTGTTGGATATGAGCTGTATGGTATTTTAAGAGTATTAAAGCCCTGTAGTAGGGCTGTGGGGTCTTTTAAAGACATGGAAATCCTGGGGCGTAAAAGCTGTATGATATTTTAAAGGTACCGGTATGAAAACCCTGTAATAGGGCTGTCATGTCTTTTTAAAGGTGGGGGTTGGATGGCCGAATGGTTAGCATGTGCACGCTGTATCACGAGGCCTGTCATTGAGTCAACTGGCGTGGTTTTGAATTCCCGGTTGTACGTGACAAGGAGTAGGGTTGCCTGTCCAACCTTGTGGGTTTTCTCCGAGTCCTCCGGTTTCCTCCCACTGCTAAAGACCACTACGTGCAAGCGAATTATTGAAATAAAATTAAAACCATGTTAGTCCCGAAATGACCTAGTCTGTGCCGAGTGGACGTTAAACCCCATCTCTCTCTCTCTCTTTTTAAAGGTATGGAAGCCCCCAAGGTGTAAGTTGTGGGTTTTTTTAAAGGTATTCATGAAAGCCTTGCATCACTAGGCTTATAATGAAAAACAGGTATACGCCACACATTGCGCTATAATGAGTGACATTTTGCCCTTATTTCGAACTGTCAATGGAATACATGGGACCTCCAATTTTGGGTCCCATCTGAACCACTTGAGGCTAAAATATCCTGAGGAACATCTTCGGCCAAACCTGGATCAAAACTGGAACTGGTCAGGGATTCAACCCTATAACCTCTTCAGCCATACTATCTATAAACAGTAATAAATATTTGAATCAACAGAACATACATAAATGTCTATATTGAAAGGTATAATTCTTAATGTTAGTTTCTATTTAATAGGGGGGGGGGGGGGTTGAAGGCCGAATGGTTAGCACATGCACGCTGTATCGTAACTCCTGTCATTGAGTTAACTGGCATGGTTTTGAATCCCTGGTTGTACGTGACAAGGAGTAGGGTCGCCTGTCCAACCTCGTGGGTTTTCTCCGGTTTCCTCCCACTGCTAAAGACCCCTGAGTGGACGGTTGGATGGCCAAATGGTTAGCATGTGCACGCTGTATCATAAGGTCAACTGGCGTGGTTTCAATTCCCCGGTTGTACGTGACAAAAAACATATGTTTGTCCCGAAATGATCTAGTTTGTGTCGAGTGGAGGTTAAACCCCATCTCTCTCTCCCTCTCCATTTAATAGACCAGCAACAAAATAAAATAAGATAAATGAAATGGGGTTTAACAGGGGAATTGAAACCATGCCAGTTGACTCAATGACAGACTGTATGATACAATGCGCGCACATGCTAACCATTCAAGTATTTTGTTGAAAGGAAATTACAAGTTTTATTCATACGGAAATATATTAAAAAAGGACGAACTTTTAAGAACTTAAATAATTGCCTTAAAACTAAAGCAAAAAATGATTTTTATTACAAAATTAAGACAAATTATGATACTGAGAAATACCTGGATCTACCAGATGAACAAAAATGCCAGGCACTGAGCCAGTTTAGACTCAGTGCACATAAGCTTGAAATAGAGACAGGAAGGCATAAAAAACCTTTTGTCCACAGGGATAAAAGGACCTGTAAAAATTGTACTAGCGAAGAAATAGAAGATGAAACGCATGTTCTTCTCCATTGCTTCGCTCACAATAATCTTTGGAAAATTTTTTTAAGTCATCACATTAAAACTCGTTAGAACGATTCAATAATGCATATAATGACCGTTGATAAATGTATACAAGATGTTGCAACGTAAAAATAGACATATTAAATACCATTTGTTATGTAAGGCCTAATATATACCTTACAACAATAAGCATTATTAATATAATTTAATATACTTTTAGAAACCTCTGTAAACCTTATTCTATGTTCTTTGATGTTTATTATTGCATTGTACTTTGTATTATATGCTTTACATACTCCTGTATATACCATGCAGTTGTGTAATAAAGCATTATTATTATTAGGCTATTGTGGGTTATTTTTTTTGTTTTAGGTAAATATTATCAAAGAATAATAAAAAGAAATGTGGTTTATATCAATGAAATAAAGCCAACATTTATCTGTATTTATTGCATAAATAAAGTAAATTTATTGCATAAAAACATAGTACTACTAAACTGCATATATATAGCTATATTCTTTATATTGTTATCTGCTCAGTTGTTTGTGCGCGGGTTTCCACACAGACAATAATGCAAAACCTGTGGATATTCGTTTATATACTAAATTATGACGGCTATAAATAGAATAACGGTTTGCTTGTCTTAAGCGTACAATTTGTACTAAAAATAGAAACCTATTCACAGGGCTATTTATCGTTAACAACAACCAGGTATAAGATAGTGACCCGGTGCATTGATTATTACTAGATCTGTTTGTTTGGCTTCTGTGTAAAGCTTTCTGACAATTCTCTAAAGGTAAGTCTAATTACTTCCTGGCCGTGGCGAATTTTTAATTTTTGACAGACCAATCTGCCCTATTTTCACAGGTCGACACACTCTCTTGTTTTCAGTTCAATGCATAGGTCAACGACATGTTGCAAAATGCGTGTAAAAAACATCGTGCTTATTTTTGGCATTTCATAGAATTATACATATATAGCAATATGCTGTCTTAAGAGGTTTATCGATGAATAAAATAAACTAAAGACAAATATTAAATCAAGTTTGTTTATGTTATTAACTCCCTTGAATGGGGTGAGTTACATTTCTTTCCCATAATGCTTTAGCAACGTCACGAGCTCAAATACAGCTACCCCCCTCTATAGCTTATTCAAGGTGTGGTTTCATTGATATCGTGGATGTCAACACAAAAAGAGCACAATATTAGTGAATTTTATCGTCAAAGTTTCTTCATACTCAGGTAAAATGGACAGAAAAGGTCATTTTGGAGCGGAATGCAATTTTCAGTTTGTAGGAAAAGGGAATTGACGGACTACCAGGGTTGCAAGCGGTGTTAATAACTGCAAGCGGATGCCATTTTTAGTATTTTGGGCGATACGGCATTGTTCGCTTTCAGCTTATTATGTCTAATTGTGAACAGCCGAGTTGAAATATGGAGTTGGAATTGGTTGATTTTTATTTTTCCTTCAGTGTGGACCGGTTTATTATGTTCTATTTTCACTGAGTAATTGTCTGCAAAAGAAACAAATTCGAATTATAAGAACAAGGTCATCAGGCGGCCATATTTATTTTAGTGCAGCCATTTTGATGACATCATCGCTCAACAGACAGGACAGGGCATGGCTCTTGACTTGTCACTTTTATAAAACACTCTGGTGGGCTTTCCCTGTTCAGTTCATACCTTCGCATAGGAATCTTCAGTTTGGTCCCTAAGAGAGAATCTGCAGCTGGTTTGTTGAAGTGGATGCAGCCGATGTATGTCGTCACTGACTCAGTGACTGTGCCGACTGCCGGCATGTCAGACTAACTACTGGTATTGACATGTTAAAGTAGCTAAGTCTCTAACTCAATATCATCCAAAATCTTCAACACTGAAAACACAAATTATTTGTCAATTTAAATCAACATTGATGCTGTGATCTTACCGGAAAAAGATGGGCTTCTGATATCCAATATTTAAGACAAAATAAACATTTTGCCATTGGTACACGAATCGTGTACCATAATGCGTTTCAGCCCCAGTTCTAGCAAGAGACTCAAGGAACGAGGCTAGACATATTGCACCAAACCAAACGGCGTATGTAGACTGGAATAACCAGGCGCTAGAAATTTGCATTCGATTGAGATTGCTGGCTTATTTCGCGGAACATAACTGATTTGAAATTAGAGTAAAAACGGAAACCATTGAATGTAAATCAGTTTATATACATTCATATTACAGTATTAAATGAGTTGCGACCCACTTGTGTCAATTTCTAGGTCCCAAATATTAGCGATTTAGCTCCTTTAACAGTGTTAACCACTTGGGTTGAAGACGAGGGATGGGGGGGTATTTCTAAGTTCAATTCATTGTAGTTCAACCGTCCCTGATAGGCTCACAACACCAATTTGTCGTTGGCAGAGACGTGTGAGCCCATAGTCAGTATGGGTATGACGAATTCCTTTCAATATGAATACCGTCTCTAGAATTCATGCTGTTGTCGGTTACTATCATTGAAATATGTAGAGCTATAAAACAACATTAATGTCTCATTTTAATGACCAATTTTCTAATACTATAGTGCAGTTGGTTTCGATAATGGTACTACGAATTGTAAAAATTTCCCAGCCATCTCAGTGAGATTTAACAAATAGTGAGGGAAACATACAATGTACTTTTGTTTTTGATCTACCAAGAAGTGCCAGCTGAATGGTGAATAATAAAACAAACCTGGGTTAACCGGTTTCATCCATCAGATATGAATTTCACAATGAATCGGCAGTAAATAAATGAAACAGAAACATTACCTTTAATGCCGGTATTTGATTTACATACTTGTATTCACGCTTTATTACATGTAAATAGGCTCTATACGTCCTCAAAACATACAAAATATTGTCAATGGTCTGGTTTTCTTATTTAATATTATATTCTGTTTTCCCCTTGGTGATTATTGGTCAAATTGACAATTTGCTGCATATTACCAGTATTGTTGCCAGTATTTCATCGTAGCAATACTGGCAATTATTATTTTGAGAGTCTGTCCCGTTTATGATTCTTATTTAATTACAAACCTAGTGAATCCACCTGGGCCCAAACCCATTCCATTCTTGTGGTAATGATTACACATTTGATGTAATGGACATTTAGAAACTAATATGGGTTATGGAAGAGTAGTTAATTACATTCCAAATACCATATAATGGTGTCGCTTACATTTCAGTTACTAGTCTTTGGAATCGGTACATTTATGTGCAACTCTGTGAAGAGCGATCAATTTTGCTTCAGTAGAGTAAATTATGCGTTGGACAGACATCAAATACATGTACCGGTACATCCGATTTTAAAAAAGACAAAATTAAGTTTCAAAAGAATCTTGATAATAGCATTTGATATTTTGTTAGGACATTTTGTTTGTCAACATTGTAAGCATAAACAAAGAGGATTTCTGAATTCTATGTAGTCGTAATGTAATCACAGATTAGTACTAATTAGCAGTGGCACCCATTCAGTTGATCAAACAATTAGATTTAAAAGACAATGAGTTACATGTAATTACCTTGAGTTGAGTTAATTACAATGAGATGACAAGTGAGAAACCATACAAGCTATTGCTAATTCTACAATCACAACACTAGTTTTTATCACTTGCTTAGATTATGTGAGGTATGACAATTCCTATGTCCTAGAGAAAAAAAAAATTCTGTTTACTTCTAATTTGACTTGGAACTACGCCTCTTTGATTCATTTCAAAATATTGTTCAGTAGCAACATCATTCAGTACACGCATAGTTTTTTTTAAAGATATGTATTGTTGATGCGATTGCTAGTTCAAAGAAAATGGGGGGGTTGGATGGCTGAATGGTTAGCGTGCGCGCGCTGTATCATAAAGTCTGTCATTGAGTCGACTGGCGTGGTTTTGAATCCCCGGTTGTACGTGACAAGGAGTAGGGTCGCCTGTCCAACCTCGTGGGTTTTCTCTGGGTATTCCGGTTTCCTCCCACTGCTAAAGACCCATACGCGCAAGCGAATTATTTAAATAAAATCAACCCATATGTAAGTCCCGAAATGACCTAGTTTATGTCGAGTGGACGTTAAACCCCATTTCTCTCTCTCTCTCTCTCTCAAAGAAAATGTCTGTCATAAACCTTTATTTTAATTCTGTCTTTCATCACAATATAAAGTATAACTGCCTGAGGTGCTGTACATGACGTTCCATGTATATGCAGGGGATTGGATGGCTGAATGGTTAGCATGTGCGCGCTGTATCATAAGATCTGTCATTGAGTCAACTGACGTGGTTTCAATTCCCCGGTTGTACATGACAGAGAATAGGGTCGTCTGTCCAACCTCATGTGTTTTCTCCAGGTCCTCCAGTTTCCTCCCTCCCACTGCTAAAGACCCCTACACACAAGCATATTGAAATAAAATTGAACCATGTGTTAGTCCCAACCCGAAATTACCTAGTTTCTGTCAAGTGGACATTAAACACCATTTTTCTCTCTCTCCATGTACTTGCTGTAAGATGTTTGTTTGAATAAATCAATGGTAGTCACAGTCTATGTACAGGTACATGTACTTACGTAACCTGCACAATCACACCAGTTTACTGGTTGGTAAATTAATAATAGAAAATCACAAATGTGACTGTTGAATCATTTCTTATTGTCACTTAGAAACATTGAAACTGAAAATACTATACATTTGTACAACACTCCAAAATGTCCATACGCCCATCATGTTCTCCACATTTGCTTACTCACAAACCAAGAGTTGAAATTGTCCAGGTTAAGGTGTCCTGATATACATGTAGTGTTTGGAGCTCATTCTTTTAATGGAGTTAAATTTGTTGATGAGGAATATTGATAGTTATTGATTATAGTAATCACATCGTTGTGACAAATATCATTTAATATGAATGATTTATGACTAGCTAGATGAATCAATAGACTTTATGACGTGCCACACCCTTTTGATGTTCACTAATGAATATCGTACAGAAATTAAAAACGGAGATTAATTGATATGCTATATACATGTATGTAAATAGTACATTATAGAGTTAAATTGGTCTAGGAGAAGGATTTAATATTTTGACTAATTTTATTAACAACATGCTGGTGCAGGTAGGCAATAATTGATTGTATTAAAATTGCAGAAATTGGTAGCAAAAGTTTCATTATCTACCACAAGTTTTGAACATTCTTGTATCGTAAACAATTAGAGTAATGGTTTTGAATTGATTTTGTTGCAAGGTATTAGGAAGCACTATGTGGAAGCCTGGTAATAAAGGAGCTGTCACAAACAGTATTGGCACAAATTCAGGCTTTGTCTTGCACAAACACCTCTGTTGATGACTGTCAAATTTGTTGAACACTTATTTGTATTTTTCTGAGTGTTTTTATTCATACCCATACTAATGTATTTTCCTGACACAAAGTTCAAAATGGTGCCAGGGCATTAGTTCAGTGCAGGGCTATGTACATGTATAAAGTCTGATTAACTACTGTACATGTATTTTCTCAGTTTAAATTGGGTGTAACAAAATGGCTTATTTGACTAATCTTAGTTCCTGTGCAATTACAGTTCACACCTCTAGCCCACTATTTGTTATGCAGCACAATAATTCCGTTCATTTTTATTTACCAAAGCTCATTAGTTTATATTTTTATTAGAAACTTACAGATTTGGTAACAAAATCTGGACGGGAGTTGGCCAGACGCTCCCTCTAATTGGGTGCCTGAGAATTTTATCAGGTTCAACTCATCTTGGGGGGGTGTGGGGGGGTAGATGGCCGAATGGTTAGCATGTGCGCGATGTAGCATAAGGTCTGTCATTGAGTCAACTGGCATGGTTTCGACAAGGAGTAGGGTTTTCTCGTGGGGTTTCTCCGGGTCCTCAGGTTTCCTCCCCACTGCTTAAGACTCCTACGCGTAAGCCAATAATTGAAATAAAATTGAAGCATGTGTTTTTCCCAAAATAACCTACATTTAGTTTGTGTCAAGTGAACGTTAAACCCCATTTCTCTATCTCCCTCAACTCATCTTTTGATTGGTGTACATATGGTGTAAATTTCTTAAATGTTATTATTTCAGGTGATGGCGGCAATAAGGAAGAAGTTGGTCATCGTTGGTGATGGTGCCTGTGGTAAAACGTGTCTTCTTATTGTCTTCAGTAAAGATCAGTTCCCTGAAGTTTATGTACCTACTGTGTTTGAGAATTATGTAGCTGATATTGAAGTTGATAGCAAACAGGTTTGTCCTTCATAACTGTACATGTATTAGCGGACTCAGCTCAAAATATGTCTTAAGTACCGCCTGTGTACTGGAACCATAAACTGGGACTCGAATATAATAATATAAAGGTTCTTCAAAACCTGCATGAAAGTTCTGAAGCTAGAGCTGTTAGTTATGGTTTAGTTCATTCGATGGAATTGATGGAGTGTCACATGACAAGTGTGAAAAGTCTTGTCTACATACATATTGATAGAGATTTACAAAGTCGACCAAGGGTTGGCACATTCTGTGTACATGTATGTAGTTCTAAGTCTTTTCACAAGTTGTTTAAAAATGTACATTATCATAAGTCTTATTTTATTTAATTTGTATTTTAATTTTGATGACGTACCGTACATATGTGTGTATAAAGTAACTTATGTTAAGTTTTGTGTACCTTAGGTTATTTTTTATTGAATTTTAAGTGATTTTATTTTCACTTGTTTTTTTATCATTTACTTTTTTCGATCGTGAAATGTCGATTTATTAAGTTTGTGTACTCCACTTTGGTTACTCGTATAAGCACAACAATTGCTTCATTATCAATACGCTCCAAAATTGATGCTTTTTCCACCAATCATGGAGCTTCAAGCTTCTGTCAGTGGCGCTAAATTTTCGGTGAGTGTCACTTTTTTTGTACGCATGTTTTTTTCGGTTTGAGCTGATTATTTTTTACAAGAAATATTTTAACGGGTCACTCATATTTAATACATCACTTGAATGTTTCTCATTTTGCCAACCCCCCGTTTTTTGTTTATTTTTAAACATTTGAATGCTGATGTAGTGTGGTTGTTTTTAGAGATTATAATAGTTGTAGCTTGCATGAATAAAAGGGAATATGTGTGCTGCTACAGATGTTTGTTGAAGTATATAAGTCGGAAAGTGTGATCTGATGAAATAACATATAAATTGAAAGCATGTTTTGTTAATTTTAGAAAATTACTTAATAAGTTCAGCACTTTGATGAATTAACCTTTGTTAGTGCACGTCATAATGAAGCCAAAGATACTTGTTAGCCAGTAACATTTAATTAAGAAAACAAAAACTAAATATCAACGCAAGATAACCTAGACTTGGATTTAATCAGATTTTAAATAGGCCTATCAATTTTGTTCGTCCACAGCAATATGGCGTGCAGCATACATATACATCAATGAAATTGAAGCATTTTTGGATTGATATTCCTATCAGAGATTCATCATTCACAATATTGTAGTTTCACTGGATTCCTATTGCACTAAAATGACATAATGAGACTAAAAATTAAGTTGATTCCATTTGTAAAAAAAAGTATTCTCTTGAATTAAATAAAAGAAAACATACATGTATTACTGTGTGTGTATATACATGTATATATATATATCAACCAGGGGGCCAACTCACGGATTGTATGCCACCAAGACTGAAATACAGAGCCAAGTACTTGACAATTCAAGAAAGGAAGACAATTTAGATAAAGAAAATCAGATGAAATAAAAACTTTTTTTTCAAATTATGTCGGGCAGCTTGTTTAATAGGGTTAAGAGCGATAAAATCTAATTTAAGAAAGCTTTATTTTTGATTTCACGCTTTGATTGGATGTGCCATCTCTCCGGGCGCCACTGATTCTTTTTGTCACAGTTAAAGATGCATTATGTAAGATTTAGATAAAGAGCTGGCTGTTCTTGCTATAATAGTTAAACAATAGATAATGTAATGGTAATATGTTGAGAATTTCAGTCAAATTAACTCATTCTGAGCGGAGTTATCGTCGATTACAGAACAATGTAATCATGATTGTCATTGCTACTGTTGTTTCGATAATAACCAAAGTTTTGATTATCCATTTTTAGATTAAAATCTTATTTAAATCTGTTGAAAATCTAGACCATCCGATAGCATTGAGAGTTGATTAGGGTCTTGGCAAGTTAATAAATGTCTAATTAAAGATACATTATGGGAGATTCGATAACGAGTTGGTAGTTCTCACTATGATAGTTAAAAACTAGATAATGTAAAGGCAATTTGCTGAAAATTTCATTCAAATTGAATCCACTATGAATCGAGAACTAAGCGGTTGAAATTTCTGCCTAGTCTTGATTATCCATTAAATCGTGAAGGAAAGTTATGCAGTAAATCGGCTCATAATCCACTAAAGATCGCAGGCTAGCATAACCATCTAGAGTTGATTATGGTCTGGATAGGTTAATTAATGTCTAATAATTTAGATACCGGTAACATTTCAGGCCTAAAGAAAGCCCTGCAATAAACAGATTTAGCTCTTGCATAATGTATGTTTAATATAACATTTAAGGCCTAAAGAAAGACCTGCAATAGGTAGATTTAAGTTATTAAGTACAGTGTAAGTTTGGTACTGGATTTAATTTCATGGTATATTTTTACTTACAGTCCAACATTCATCAATAAAATGTTCATTGGTAGGTTATAATATAACTTGATTTGTTTCATGTCCTTTGGTTCAATCAATTCAAAGTGATTTCATGTTCAGCATTGGCCGAGAAAGTTCATCCATATTTTCCAGCGTGGTTCCCCCTTGTCAGTGATGCAGGACGGAGGGCCTGACAAGGACAGCCGTCTAGTCGTTCGGATGGTACGGAAAACTGAGGTCTCGTGTACACATTGGCGTGCACGTAAAAGATCCCTTGACAGTTGGAATTTGATATAAGAGTAGGCCGTAGTGCCTCTGTCGGGGCAAAATTTTCCTCATAGCACACTGTATGGCGTATGCCCGTCTTCATTAACCCAGTTCGGAGCAGAACAGTAGGACGTTTAACTTCATTTCATGGTAAAAAAGCCTTCCCATTAGAATTCGTAAGATATCACTTGCAGGCTTGCATGTACAATGTACATTCAGTCTTTTTCGCTCTGTACATGTATGTTTGAGCATGGATTTCAATATTCAACAGAACAGATAATATATTTTTAGGAATACATTTAAACTTTTATAGCAGTTTAATAAAACACCCATAATGGGAGGTTAAAGGTACATTCCAACTAGAGTATTTATAGCATAGTTAGTTTGAAAAACACCCAAGGGGTTCGCATGGAACAAAAATGTAACTTAGTAAGGTAGCTGGCAGACTGTCGGCTTGTCTGTTAAAGTGGTGTTGGGGGAGATCATGGTGGCTAAGTGGGTAAGGTGCTGGCTCGCTAGCCTGGAGGTTGGGTGTTCGATCCCTGCATTTGCCGAGAAAGTTCATCCAGATTTTCCGGCGTGGTTCCCCCTTGTCAGTGATGCAGGATGGAGGGCCTGACAAGGACAGCTGTCTAGTCGTTCGGATGGGACGAAAAACCCAGGTCCCGTGTACACATTGGCGTGCACGTAAAAGATCCCTTGACAGTTGGAATTTTGATATAAGAGTAGGCCGTAGTGTCGCTGTCAGGGCAAAATTTCCCACATAGCACACTGCATGGCTTATGCCCGTCTTCATTAGCCCAGTTCGGAGCAGAACAGTAGGACGTTTAACCCCATTTCATTTCAAGTGATGTTGGGAGCGCTTATAATGTGTTCGTTGAAAATTGTTAGCGATTGTGAGAACAGTGAGAGACATGTAAAACAGGCTCTGTGATTAAAGCGGCGGAAAAAGATAATCCAAGAGTTTATTTTTTCTTCGTTATTTATGATAGATGGAAAGTGAGTAATGACAAATACATGTACTATTGTAAAAATAAAAAAATAGACTTTATGCGTTGAGGGGTGTTGTGATTAAAATGTTTTACGAGGGATTTGAACTATTTACATCCTTAGTTTTTAGTAGTTTTTCTTATAAATATTGTGTCAAGCTTCACTTTTTTTGCACTAATTACTATTTGATCAATTTTTAAAGGTTTTAAATTTGTATTGGTGAAGTTTTTCTTTTTTGTTTACCTCTTGGGATTATGAGGCTCTTTTATTTGATTTTTTGGTGCTATTTTAGAACATTGTATACTTTTTAAGCTCTGGTCACGAGTGGGATATTTCAAAGCTGGTATATTTGAAACCTTGTCGCACCTGTTAACGTCAGGATATTTCAATCCCGGTAGCACCAGTCAAGGGTGGCACCTGTGGTTGTTAGTCTGATGAGGAAAATGTTCCAACAGATTTGGAATGCACTGAAAACAGGTCCACACATGTACGCCTGGGAATTCATTTTAAATAAAACCTGTCGTTTGAAATTAGGAAAATAATGCTGCCTGGGCGAAATTCTTCATCTCAAATTGGATAGGTAACCACTGAAATGTAAATTACAATGTTAGTCTCAAGACAAGTGATTTGGCGCAACGGTTAGAGAGTAGGATTTGTGAACTAACGGTTGCAGGTTCGAGACTCGAATTGTGCATCAAATTCTTGTGTCCTTGAATATTCCAGTTTACCCAGCTGTAAATGGGTACCGGTAGGATGGTGTATGTATTACAAAAAAAACTGTTGCTCTCCTTGAAGCAGCATATGTTGGGGCTCTTTCTAACATTTAAAAAGAGTTCAGGGGTAAAGGGAGGTAATCAGGCTTTACCTGTATCCTAGAGACCAGGATAGTAATTGTGTCGCGCTTTGAGCATAAACTTAGTTTGTGGATATAGCGCATTATAAATATGCACAATATTAAGTGTTGTGTTGAACTTGAAGCGATGTTTAACCCCTATTCCATAATCAGTCAAAAAAAGACAAGATACTGACCATTGTCAGTCAAAATAAAACAAGATACTAGTCCATTGTCAGTCAAAATCAAACAAAATACTAGACCATTGCGGCACTTTATTTTGAAGTGACAGCAACAAAATTTGAATACTTGCATTCAAATGAATAACCCACGTATAGATCTTGATGCACCTGCGTCGACAGATAAGGACAAGTTTACATATTTCTGTTAATGATTCAACATTTCATTTATCATTTTCTATCCTCGTTCAACCCACCCACCCACCCATTTAGCATTTTCTGTCCGTGGTGAGGTTCAACCCACCTACCCAGTTCCACAGGTTATTTGGTTAGACGCAAGTTTTAAAATTTTGTGATGATCCCTCACTAATATCACAATATTGGCATCATGGTTCGTACATGTATATCATGAGCCGAATTGCTTTGAGAATCGGCGAAGACTCGTTTAAAGAATCACAAAAAGGACCCCACTCCTTTAGCTAGAATCTTTCAGTAATTTCAGTTTTAATCGTCTGATTTGATACCAGTAATTTTATTAGATTAGCATGTGCGCGCTGTATCATAAGGTCTGTCATTGAGTCAACTGGCGTGGTTTCGATTCCCTAGTTGTATGTGACAAGGAGCAGGGTCGTCTGTCCAACCCCCTGGGTTTTCTCCAGCTCCCCCAGTTTCCTCCCACTGCTAAAGACCCCTACACTACAGTGCTGGAGTTTGGGACTATAATCGCCGAACACCGCGGAAAAACACTCTATTTCACGGTGGAATCTTGGAGAATCGCTAGCGAAACGGCAGCTAGCCAAATCACTGCGAAACACCCTATTTCGCGGTGATTTGGCTAGCTGCCGTTTCGCTATGGTGTTTCACGGTGAATCGCTTGAGTGCCGATATCATCCCGATGTAAGCATGTTGACGAAAAATGTAATTTATTTAAGTTGAATACAAGATATGTTAACCGTTGGCGAGGCAGCTACGGTCGTATTTCTAACACACTGTACATGTATAACGTGGTGCCACAATGTACGTGTATGCAAACAATGAATAACTTACAATTTTTTAAACATATCATTTCATCTTATTGGCTGCTATCAAATCCAAACTTTAAATTATATTCGATGAGATTTTACACATAACTTCATTACTCGCAGCTTCAGTTAATCTAAATCAACCATTCATAAATCACAGTGCCATACATGTAAATCACTCCGCGATGCGGTTAACGCGCGAAAACATGAGATGTTGGGTTCGACACTGGGACTATATATTCTTACGCTGTGTTACTTGGCGAATAGTATTTAGCAAATCTTGACTGTCACCGGTATATGATAATAATGTATTATGACGTATTAAAATAATATGGGTGGGAGGGGGTACACTGCGAAAGTCACAAAAGTGATAAATAGAACTTGCAACGGGAGTCGAAAGCGCTTTCAAATCAGACATAAGAAGCTCGTACTTACCGCAAAAATGAAATGAACGCGACACAAGTCTCCGATGTCAGAGAATATTAGTAAAGTATAACCGCTATCAAATCCACACAAAAATCCAAGGCACTCATTTTATTTTAGAAAAGAATAACTGTAGGCTCGATAGAAAATCCTATTCTTCATGAACCCCAAACCAATGGTAACTGTCAACTTGTATGTTGTCATTCTCGTGCAGATTTGTTTGAATAACAGAAATGTCCCGTGTATCAAAGAATAAAATCGCACATAGCCACTCTTTGTTGTTTTTATGCGAATTCAATTAATCTAAAAGGAGCTCCGGCGCAATTTAAGGAATTATTTTTGAGCCAATATTAACCATCGCCAATTTGTTAAATCATGGGATAAAGTCAATTAACAAACAATACGGGTCTACTTTATTACAAAAACATTGGTGAACTTACCATTTTGTCTAAAATCATAACGCTAATCAACAAACAATACTATTGTTCTTTATTACAAAAACATCGGTGAACTATATTGTTTTTGTACATATTGTATTTATTTATTTGTTTGTACTATATGTTACACCTGATGAGTCTTTGGCTTAAAGGAATAAAGAATTTGAACTCGAACTAATCGCTGTCGGGATGGCGAGCCAAGCTAGTTGATTATTAGGTAAATAAAACAATATAAACAAACAATGAGTAAAAGTGATCTATTCTAATCAATTAAATAATATACAAGTCAAGTGCCGGTATTACCTTAACCGTGGACGGGTTAACGAACACTCAACTTACAAATATTAAATCATCGCCGTATTGGCACTGACTGACGGCACTTCGTGCACGGACTGTTGAATTCTCGTTTAATTTATTGTGTTAATTTCACTATTGTTTAAAATGTAAACAAAATCTTATCTCGAGTACGTAGTACCGTATATCGAGCTAGTCTAGTAAGTAGTAGGCTAGGTAAATCCAGACTAATATTGTATTAATAACACTGGCTTCAGGTAGACTCGATTGTCATCTAAGGGATTATATTTTCTTTATGCGGTCTATTTATAGAACAGTAAAACGATTGTAAATATTGGCGCGATAAAAATTTAATTATAAGTCCAAGCTATTGTTGATAGAAAATAATAATGATTTACGTGTATCATAGATAATATTAAGTAACAATAGAACGAAAATACTGTTTGTTGTTTTTCGAGTTTTAGGCCATTATTACTTATTTTATGCATATTTTTGGTATGAACTTTTTTGGACCAGTAAAATCTCATTCGGTCCAGCAATAGTTGGAATAATACCTGCCCAAATGTCCAGTAAAAAAAATATCATTTCGCATGGACTGCAGGGTACATGTATATGTAGTAGGAAATCGACAAGTTGGACGTACAAAAGAATGGAATCATTCAGAAAGTGTACTCAAAATAAGTAAACTATAACGGGGTGAAGACGAGAATTAACACACTCGTGGATATTGTATAAATATATGAGGCGCATGTAATGTACACGTATGTGTGTGTGAAATGGCTTTATTCAATATCTGCTCCCACCGAAATGAATTGGGTGACATAAAGTAGATGTATATTGTCACAGCGGATATTATTCGCCGAGTAAAACAGCATAAGAATATACATGTAGTTCCAATCGTTTGGCGCGTTTCTGACCACGTAACATACCGTTAAGCGACCCGCTGAGTGATTTACTGTACGTACTGTATGAATGATTGATTTAGATTAACCGAAGCTGCGAGTAATGAAGTAATGTGTAAAAGCTCATCGTATATAATTTTAAGTTTGGATTTGATAGCAGCCCCAAATTGACGGATTACATCTAAGTAATTCATCTAAGATGAATTGATATGTTTAAAAAATTGTAAGTTGTTCATAGTTTACATACATTTTGGCCGGCGTTATGTATGTATAAAGTGCAATGGGGGAAAAATCCTAACCGATACAGAATGTCGGTAAATGTCTTCCCGAGATTACCTAACTCATTTGTTATTCAAACCTGCCTGTACATTATACATGTACACGTTTCCCGGGAGCATTACTATATTACAACTCCTTTAATTTATTATAGACAATATTAGTTCGACCCTAGCTTAAGGTATGCTCTCGAATTTCTTGCGGGAAGCACGGCAAAACACAATGTATTCTTATCGAAACACGGTGAATTCCTAGAGAAACACGGTGAATTCCTAGCGAATCTTAGAGAAAAATCGCAGCAGAATCAAGCGAAATCTAAGAGAATTCCGAGAGTTTTTTTTCACCGCGTCGCAGCGATTTCGGTCCCAAAAATTTGGGAGGAACTGTATGCGCAAGAGAATTATTGAAATAAAATTGAACCATGTAATAGTCCCGAAATGACCCAGTTTGTGTGGAGTGGACATTAAACCGCATTTCTCTCTCTCTCTCTTTAGTAGATCATGGAATAATAATATTCAATACTTTATTTTTAACCTAAATCATAGAGCGACCCGCACCTTTAGCTAGAATCTTGCAGTGATGTTTGTCAGTTTTAATTGATTTGAGACATTCAATACAAGTCATTTTACTGGATCATGAATGATAGCGCTCATTTTATAGATTATGCATTGTTATATGGATGTATAATTAATGAAAATTGTGACAATATCTAACTGGTCATGATGCTGTGTTCCTACTCATTTGCATGTAGCATTTGGTACTAACAGTTTTATTGTCGAGGTAAATTAAAGCAAACCAAATAATTGTTAAAGCAAAAACAAAGTATTGTTAAAGCAAAAACAAAGAATTGACGAAGAATTGTTAAATGAAAAACAAAGAATTATTACAAATGTTTTCTGGCTTCAAATGTTACATGTATATAAGTTATTATTTGGTTTAGACATTCATCAACTAGACAAACCCATAATCAACTCTCTTGGCCATTGGATGGCTCAGATTTTAAAGCGAGAATTTCATATTTTTAAGTTACATTTTTAAAATGTATTAAAATAAAGCCTTAAAATAGATGGTATCTATAAAGAATCCTATTAACCCTATAATTCACTATTGCCAGTTGAGAAATTGGCAAAAATATCATTTTCAACTTCAAATTCAAACGTTTGAAGATACATGTAGCTATTCCATGGGGGGGGGGGGGATACAAAAACAAGGGAGGTAATGGTGTTATTATTTCTGGTGTGAATGATTTTATAAGTGTGATAATGATACCTATGGTCGTATAATAGTGAGTTGACAACCTATTGAGCAAAAGACATAGAAATAATTATGTTTTGACTTTCTAAGAAAATATGAAATTCTCGCTTTAAGTAGATTAGAACACTGTTGCCATTTAAGAGTTAAACAATGAAATAGATAATCGCGTCTCGATTGTCATGTACCGTTGCTACAATAGTAAACAAGCTACATGTACATGTATGCTACATTTTGTCAAAATTTCAAACACTCATAAATTTGCACAGAATAAAATAATTTTCAATATATTCATGTTTCATTAGCTATTTTTGAACTATTATTATGGCAAGAATGGCCAGATCTTTATCTAAATTTTACATGTACTGCATCTTTAATTTGACTTGAGTAACCTGAACTGGTGAAAGTTCACATGAATTTCTCCAAGAAGTAAAATTAACACAACACAGTTTATATGGAAATACAATCACTGGTTTATAGGCATAGCACGACGTTTCGACAAATATTCTCTTATCGTTATCAACTGTGTTGTGTTTTTAATGTGTTCAATCGCTAAATGCCACTCAAGGATTAGAAATGAAAATTGATGATAAATTTTTACTGGCTTTTTAGATAAAAACTTTCATGACTTATTCACGTCTTCCTTCTTTTTCAGGTTGAACTTGCATTATGGGATACCGCTGGTCAAGAAGATTACGACAGATTACGACCGCTCTCCTACCCAGACACAGACGTCATATTAATGTGTTTCTCCATCGACAGTCCTGACAGTTTGGATAATATCCCAGAAAAGTGGACACCAGAAGTCAAGCATTTTTGTCCTAATGTGCCGATTATATTGGTTGGGAATAAAAAAGACTTGCGTAACGATCCCAACACGCGTGCCGAATTAGCTAAAATGAAACAACAGCCTGTAGCCTATGATGAGGGTAAATCTATGTCCGAGAAGATAGGAGCAGCCGCATATGTAGAATGTTCAGCCAGAACAAAGGATGGCGTAAGAGAAGTTTTTGAAACGGCAACACGTCAAGCTCTTAGTAAAAAGAAAAAGAAACAAAGGGGATGCGCATTACTATAGAATTTGTAATTAGCTATTATTGTTTTTTTTTTTAAAATGAATATTTTGGGGTCTCTCATCGGAAACAGACTGGGATAATATGTGCATAGGGTGTTAAATTAGAGGGAATGAAAATGGGGGGTGGGGAGGGGATCTGTGGAATGGGGAATAATGGATTTAAGGTACTTCTTCATGAAAAGAAAAACTTTTAATACAGATTTGTATTGTACATGTATTTATAACTGTTGTTGTATGCAATCTATGAAGAATATAATATTGCTATCCCAGTCTGTTACAAGAATCGATCTGTAAAAAGCTTAGAGTTGTGCTGTAGCTAAATTGTGGACTCCTTCTCAAATCTTTTTTTTATTTTTGACGGAAATATGTGAACTGTATGTATACTATACATGTAACCTGTCTTTGTGTTTTAAAAAGAGGGAATTTAATGCTCATCAAGTCATGTTCGAAGCACATCCCAAGCGATGATTATTTCCAAATTAAACTTCTGACTAAGGAATTTACTTATTTCTGGTTGTATTATTAGATTTTCAGTCATTGTTTTCTACATGTATATTTGGCTGGTGGGCGGGAATAAATCTCTCATTAATTTGCAAGTCAAAAATCACTTTTACTAAAGTGAAAAAAACCCAACAAATCTCCCAATTTGGACATAGTTATACGTCTACAGGTATCATAATAAGGACTTCATTCAATGTACATATAGACAAAACTTCTGACCACATGACTATATTTATGTGGAGCAAATTTCATCTGTAAGGTGTTCCAACAAAAAAAGAGAAAGAATGCCCCCAAGATCCACACAGTCAAGCTTGATTGAGCACCTTAGAAAAACAATGACTGGATTTTGAATATTAACTCACTGAAAATAAATTTTACTTGTAATTACAATGTATATTCACAAGCTAATGACAAGACTATTAGTAATTGTATATTGAACCCAAATCCTAATACCAGATACTTAAGACAATATGTGTAATTGTAAATAATTTCCACAAGTATCAGATTGTCTTAGACAATAGTCAATCAGTAACCTGGCTATAAAGCAAGATAATAGTTCATGAAGTAATCTAAAAGACTCTTAAATATATCATTAGCAGGAACAGTTCGGTTTCTTAGCCAAATAATGTAATTTTTCTTTTCTAATAAGATAAAGATAAATAGAAATATGAATCTTGGCCCTTATTTATGAAAACTTAAACTAAGATACAATCGAAATTTTAAGAAATACTGCAATTCGATTGGCTGACCAGTAAAATCAATTTGCAAATATCCAATTTGCATATTGGTCAGCCAATTGAATTGCAGTATTTCTTAAAATTTTGATTGTATCTTAGTTTAAGTTTTCGTGAATAAGGGCCCTGGTTGTTTATGCCACCCAATCCGTAGAGATTTTTAAAAAAAAAATAGTATTAAGTCTTATTCTAGGAGCTACTGAAGAGTAGATTCACGTGATAGACATAATCTTCCAGTCATAAGATAAGCCTATGTGTACTTAATAGGCTATATTTACAATAAAATGACTTTGTTATACTTGAATGATGTAACAGAAGCTAGGTTTCGTCAATGTTTTTTTGCGAATATTATGACCTCGATGCATTGTATATATATAAATGTATGAAAAATATACCCTGAAACATAAAAGGGCTATTTCTTTTACCAGAGAAATTGAATGGGTTTTTTTTTTTTTTAATTTTTTTTTTGTTGTTGACTTTTGTTTGTATAAAGAGTTTGTATTGGAATGTTTTATGTTCAGAGCAAGCAGAATATTGCCAATTAATTGTATAATAAATGAACAACATGTTCAAATTTATTGTTTTATATGCAAGCTACAAGAAATAATCTGGAAAAAAAAATTCTTGAAATTTATTCATATTCATAAGCTAGTCTTACTGAAGACGGATTTTAAAGAGGCATTATGCGAGCACTAAATTATTTAGGTATTTCTTTGTATGACAAACCCATAATCAACTCTTTATACCATTGAATGGCTTACATAATGATTGGGTTAGAAACATCTGCCATATCTGGGCTATTTTTTGTCAAAACTTTATAACTTTGTTCAGAATAAAGTAATTTGACTGGAATTTTCAATATGTTTATTTTTCATTTTCTCTTTTTGAATTATTATAGCAAAAACGGCCAGCTCTTTATCTAAATCTCGCATAATTCCTCTTTGAGAGTTAAATATGGGGAATAAAATACTTTATAGTATATTATTTATTTCATTAATAAGACTTTAGTTTATTCACTTAGATTAATCAAATGTCTTTGTCTGACTTGTTCCCTTTTCTTAATCTATCTGCTTTCTTATTTTCAACTTTTTTATTATTTTACTTGTAAATCATTAATTTGTCTAGAACCACCCACATGGTTTCCTGCCTGAAATATGGCTTCATTAATTCTTTGTTAAACAGGCGTTATGTAAGAGCTAAATCTGCCTATAGCCGGTCTTTCTTTGAGCCTTAAATGTTACATAAATTATTAATGAGACATTAATATCAATTTATTAACATGACAAGACCATAATCAACTCTTGATGCCATCGAATGGCTCGGATTTTAAGTAGATTGGAACAGTTCGGCCTTTTAATCATTAATGATTTAATTTCAGAATGGATAAGCGAGACTAAAGACTTAAATGACCAGTACAGTGGTTACGTTCAATGCAGAAATCTTGTCAAATCTAAACCATTGATAACTTGGCTCAAAACAAAGTAATTTGAATGAAATTTACAATATATTCATTTTGCATTATCTATTTTTGAAATATTATAGCAAGAACGGCCAGCTCTTTATCTAAGTCTTACATAATGTTCCTTTAATGATCCAAAGAATGTGCATGTCCGGTTTCGTTCAGCTCAGTTCGCAAACTGCTAAAAAAATAAGACTTGAAATAAACTGTCCACTGGATAAAAAAAAATGTGAAGGCAAAGTCATAGAAAACCTGTTAGAAATTAATCCTTTGAATGCTTTTCATTTCTAATCTAACTAAACTACAAAAGATGATTATTTTTTAATTTACATGCAGAATAGGCATATCATTGCATTGATCAACATTCATTGAAGTAAATTCAAGCCTGGAAATAAGGCATCTGTCACTGACAATGTCAGGCACAGATTCAGGCTTTGTCAAGTACTATTTCATTAGTGCCTGATATTTTGTCAGATACATCTAAAACCGTTATTTCCAGGCCTGAGTACATAGTAGAATTATTAGATATATCATTCCATTTTATTTATATTTTATTCCATTCCTTGTCTTATTTCTGGCTTTTAAAAAGAGAAAGATGTTTTTCTTGTACAATAATAAATCACAAGTACTGGTAGATAAATCTTATATTTTATATCAAAACGGACCATACCAATTTATATTTTTGTTCTTTAGTGACCAAGGGGGTTGGATGGCGTGCGCGTAAAATCACAAGGTCTGTCATAGAATCAAGTGGTGTGGTTTCGAATCCCAGCTTGAGTGTGACAAGGAGTAAGGTCCCCTGTCCAACAACGTGGGTTTTCTCTGGGTCCTCCTGTTTCCTCCCACTTGTGTCCTGGATGTTAAACCCCATTTCTCTCTTTAGGAACCCTTCTTTTAATTTTTTCTCCTTACTTAGTTGGTCTTAACATCTTTTAGTACCAAATTCTTAAGTTTTTAAATATTAAAACAGGAGACACTGAAGAGCGAAAATTTAAATTGGTTTGACCCAAATAAACTAGTATTTTTTTTGTTTACTTATATTGCCTATCGTCTATGTAGCTTCTGCATCTATATGTAAATTTGTAGGAATCTGTTCTTAGTTGAATTTTAAAAAACTTTAAATGAAAATAATCTTGTATTTTACGAAAGTAGCCGCTATTCTGAATGCCAAGCTATTTCGTGAACTAGGATTTGAGTACAGAAATCATTAATTAGCCATAAGATGTATGATGAGCATGATATTGTAGAATAATTTTCTTTTTATTGTATTTAATCAGTTTCAACCTGAAACAACATTTAAATAAACAAACTTTTCATATTGTCCAATAATATTTATTTTTTCTCGTGAAATTGATTCCAAACCTATCGCCTCTTGGCTGGATACTTCAGCATGCCCCATCCTCAACATCAAAGCAGTGATGCAAGTTGTGTCCCTAGGCACTTTAAAATGAGGGTTATTTGTGCCATGGGCTTGTTTATGGTTGCAGACAATCTTGTTTTAATCCAAGTTAAAACATCCTCAAATTGATTATCCAAATTTTATTTAAGAAAACAAAAGCCCAGGGCCCTGTTTCCCGAAATTTTAACTAAAGTTAAAATCCAAATTTTAGTAGATACTTCAATTTTGATTGGCTAAGCACTAAAATCGATCTAATATTATCCAATCAAATTACTAAAATGTGGATTTTATCTTAGTTAAAATTTCGTGAAACAGGCCCCACGTATCAACCTACAAACTTGGATTAAACAGGATCTCAAAAGATTTTACCCTAGCTGCCACTGGCAGAGGAATTTTGCAAATTTAACCATTTTTTAACTGATAATGCTTATCAATATCCAACTTTCATAATAGTCTAGTTTATAAAATCCCTAAAATGAAGAATTAGGTCTGGGTTTTACAAAGTATTCTCAGACTTAAATAAAGAATTTAATCAACTTTCAATCACTGTTCATGAAAAAATATCTTTGATCCAGAAACACAAAACTTTGCAGTTTGCACATAGTTTCTTATTGATGTATTTGAAACATTAAAACAGCGAAAGTTTTATAAAGGGCTATATTTTTTTAGTTAAAATTTCACAAACAATTTTGAGTAAATTCATAACTGAAGTCTGAGAATGTTTCGTGAAACCAGGGTCTGGCCTTTTCAACGGTTGTGGCTCAGTGAGTAAGGTGCTTGCATGAAATGGTGCCTAGTCGTTCAAATGGAACTAAAAACCAAGGTTCCGTTTAGACTTGGTGTGCATGCAAAACCCTTTCGTCTGTTCCCATTTGAAGATGTGTGTTTTTCGTATCTACTGACCAATGATTGTGCACAAATTGAAAGTTATAATATGATTTGCTGAATGGGTTCCATGTCGACCATATATGCCGGTCAAGACTCAAGTGTTGTGGAAAATGACCTAAACTGGATCTGACCCGTAGGTTATTTTGCACGCCGGAAATATAGCATATTTTGTGCTGAACATAAAAATCCTGGACACAACGAAACTCTGTGCGTGCATGCGTTATGTAAAGAGTGGTGTATAATAAAATTAGCAATGACATAACAATACCTCCCTGAATGTATTGTATTGACTGTTAGTTCTCACATGTTACTTTTATCCAAGTTGCTCTTCCAAATTTGAAATAGGAACAATAAGAGGTGTGCTTGTTGCTGTAAAAAAAAATCTTTTTCTCTGCTTGTTTTATTCAAACTGCAGTAACTCCGGTGTCGGTCGAGAAAGTTCATTGTGATTTTCCAGCGTGGTTTCCCCTTGTCAGTGGTGCATAACGGAGGGCCTGACAAGGACATCTGTCTAGTTGTTTGGATGGGATGGAAAACCATGGTCCTGTGTACACATTGGCGTGCACGTAAAAGATTCCTTGGCATACTGCATGGTGTATGCTTAACCCAGTTCAGAGCAGAAAAGTAGGACTTTAAAACACCATTTAATTTCATTTATTCTAGCTAATTTTCTATTTATTGTCCCAAAACTTACAAGGTTACGGAGAAATATTGAAATGAGTTCTGTCCCTTGGTCCTTCCATCATGGTTTTGTTTCCGGAGCATATCTTTTTGAAACTGTCCACACATCACTCTACTGTAATACACAGGGGTTGGATGACCGAATGGTTAATGCATGTGCATTGAATTAGATGGTCTGTTATTGAGTCAAGTGGCGTGGTTTTAATTCCCTACTTGTACGTGACAAGAAGTAGGGGCGCCTGTCCGACCTTGTGGGTTTTCTCTGGTTTCCTCTGGGTCCTCTGGTTTCTTCCGACTGCTAAAGACCCCTACTTGCAATTGAACCATATGTTAGTCCCGAAATTACCCAATTTGTGCCAAGTCATAGTCGATATTTAAATATCTTGATTTTGTTACACTCATAGTCAGTATTTAAATATCTTGTTTGGTTACAGGCATAGTCAGTATTTAAATATCTCGATTTGGTTTCAGTCATAGTCAGTATTATAATATCTCGATTTGGTTAGTCATAGTCAGTATTTAAATATCTCGATTTGGTCAGTATTTATATATCTCGATTGGGTCAGTATTTAAATATTTCAATTTGGTTACAGTCATAGTCAGTATTGCAATATCTCAATTTTTGTTCAGTCATAGTCAGTATTTAAATATCTCGCTTTGGTTACTGTCATAGTCAGTATTTAAATATCTCGATTTGGTTACTGTTATAGTCAGTATTTAAATATCTTGATTTGGTTAGAGGCATAGTCAGTATTTAAATATCTAGATTTGGTTACAGGCATAGTCAGTATTTAAATATCAAGATTTGGTTACAGGCATAGTCAGTATTTAAATATCTCGATTTGGTTTCAGTCATAGTCAGTATTTAAATATCTCGATTTGGTTACAGTTATAGTCAGTATTTAAATATCTCGATTTGGTTTCAGTCATAGTCAGTATTTAAATATCTTGATTTGGTAACAGTTATAGTCAGTATTTAAATATCTTGATTTGGTTACAATCAGTATTTAAATATCTTGATTTGGTTAGTCAGTCAGTATTTAAATATCTCGATTTGGTTACTGTCATAGTCAGTATTTAAACATCTCGATTTTGTTAGAGGCATAGTCAGTATTTAAATATCTCGATTTGGTTACAGTCATAGTATTTAAATATCTCGATTTGGTTACAGGCATAGTCAGTATTTAAATAAACTGAAACTTGGTTGTTTTGTGGGGTACTTGAAGATATTCATGTGTTAATTCCATTAATCTAGAAAAATACTCACTTGCTGTATTTCAGGTTGAACTTGCATTATGGGATACCGCTGGTCAAGAAGATTACGACAGATTACGACCACTCTCCTACCCAGACACAGACGTCATATTAATGTGTTTCTCCATCGACAGTCCTGACAGTTTGGAAAATATTCCAGAAAAATGGACTCCCGAGGTAAAGCACTTCTGTCCAAATGTGCCTATTATTTTAGTTGGAAACAAGAAAGATTTGAGGAATGATGAAAATACAAAAAGGGAATTAATGAAAATGAAACAGGAACCTGTACGCCCAGAGGAGGGAAGGGCCATGGCAGAGAAAATTAATGCTTATGCCTATTTGGAATGTTCAGCCAAAACAAAGGAGGGTGTCAGAGAAGTATTTGAAACAGCCACCAAGGCTGCTCTTGCTGTACGAAAGAAGAAAAAGGGTGGATGTATTGTATTGTGAGATATAGTCTTGTATAAACTGTATAATTTCTATTGGATAAATGATATATTGAACAAATTCTGTCTGGGGAAGGGATGGATGGACAGTGGCACCTGGCAAAATTCCAGTGGAGTCCATTTACCATTTGGCAACAAAATTTTTCTTTAATTAAAATTATATAAATTATTAATTTACAGATAAGCATTCCAATACTTAGTGTATTGGTTTATCAAATGCAGCAATTAACTTTTTTTTAATTAAAAACTGGATTTTGTCAGTTCTCTCCATGTCTGCATAATAGGGGTCTGTGTATGAGTAAGGGGGGATAACTCTTAATATGGAATGAATGAATTTCTAGTCTGAATTTCAGACATTTGATGTAATTTTCATTTCTTTTTTGTAATGAATGAATTGTATTAATACAAATATGCAACAATAACTTCATGATTGATTTGAATTATCAAAAGTATTATTCATATTATTTCCTGTATCTGGAGAATTTTAGTATTTATTTGCTTGTGTATAAGATTGTCCAATGTATATTATTATTGAAACTGTTTAGTTTTGTATTGTAATTTAGACCTATAACCATTATAATGTGTAATATTAAAAAAATACAAAAAACAATAATTTTATGTTTGTTTTATCCAGATTTGACATTTTTCGCAGCTTTAAGTTTTGGAAATAAGTTATATAACTACGCATAATACAAAAAATCTAGAGTTCAGTTAAATGTCAAAAGTTGTGATAAAACATTATTGTATATCAAAAAACCCCAATAATTTTATGATTGTCTTATCCCAGATTTGTCATTTTTCACTGTTTTAAGTTTTGGAAATAAGTTATATAACTACGCATAATAGGCCAAAACTATAATTGAGTTAAATGTCAAAAGTTGTGATAAAACATAATTGTATATCATACTTGGATATCATTCTTTCTGTACATCAGTGGTTAACAACCTCCCCGGTCTTCATTAGCCCAGTTGGTGCAGGATAGTAGGACTTTAAATCCCCATTTCATTTCATTTGCCCCATCTCAACACCTCAAAAAGTTTGATGCCAACTTATTTTGCGAGGACGGACAGATTTCAACTTGTCTCCCTTTATAAAAGTTTATATTCAAATGATACCCCATGGTGGGAATCACTGGTGTACATGGACCTTAAGGACAAAATTTAAACAGAATATTGATAAATTTACAACCTATTGGTCTTGCAAAGAATCTTTTTGTAAATAAGGTCCCAGATCTGAAAAATACTGTCCATTTCTATACTGTATATAATGTTTCTTTTACTTCCCCTATTCATATAGTCACAACTATAAATCATAAATAGTGACGTGCAGAGGTTTGGTGGTGCCGGGCGCCAACTCCTTGATTGTATGCCCCCAAGACTCAAATATAGGGCCTAGTACGCAGGACGGAATACATTTTAAAGATACATTAACAAAGAGTTGGCCATTCTTGATATAACAGTTCCAAAACAGATGATAAAAAAGGAAAATATTGAAAATTTCTGTCAAATTACTTTATTCTGAACCAAGTTATTACTAGAAATAGGCATCAAATTTAAAAAAAAAACTTAGTTTTAATTTCATTCTTTAATTTGAAATGGAAGTTGCCCACTCTGCCACACTCCCTGCACGCCATTGATCATAAAGGAATTAATATAAAATGA